TGTGATTCAGCACCTGCGTACAGCGGTCAGACGAGCATGTGTGAGAAAACCTCATGGAAAATTTCTCTCGATAGGTATAGACTGCGTGGATAATTTGGTATCGTATATTCCTTCTATTTAATAATTGTTTTCGCGTTAAGTATGGCAGTTTAAAAGTATATGGTATAAGTGTATTTTAAGTACACGAAAAATATACAAAAATATACATGATACTGCATATAGCGAAACATCAAGTGGTCAAAATGCCAGGACGTCGAGTAAGGACTTCAAGTATCATCACGTGAAGTAGTGTTTTATGCAATAAATTTGAATAGCTAACGAAATAAACTCGTCAAATCGGTTTGTCTAACCTGTATTCTATACAACAGCAATTTCAAACTTGACAAATGTGGTTTGCCGAGCTATATTATATAATAGCGGTATTCGTATGGTTCTAACGATTCCATACCCTTTTGCACATAATTCTATTATTAATAAATATTCGCCAAAAGCGAGATAAATGTTTATAGCTATAGATATAGATGGACAGATATTGCTCTAGATACTCTAATTAGCTATATATTATTGGATAACAGTGGAAGACGAAATGGCAACGGTGTATAAAATGAAACACACTCCGATAAACATGCAAAGACATCTTGCAAACTCAAGATTTCAGTTATAAGAAAAAGACAAAACACAATTATTCAAAGTTCATATTTCGACAATAATCGCGTTTTGTCTTTCTTAGAACTTAAATCTTGAGTTTGCAAGATGTCTTTGTTCATCGGAGTTTGTTTCATTTTACACTTTTTGAGATTGTCTGCTGCATGGTAAAGGATTTTACAACAATGCACGTTTCATTTTTTAACAGAAGCAACAAATGGAGTTTGTGCTCAGGAGGACACTTTCTCAACGGGTTGCGTCGAACTGCAGGCAGTGGTTTACATAATATCGAGGAAGGCTACTGCTGTAAACCCAATAATCACCCAGCATATTATGCATCATGTTATGATGAAGATGTTGGAACATCGTTTGATCAAGAAGGATGGTCAAACTGCTCTCAACCTGAGAATTATATCACTGGACTCTATCGTGGAAATGGTGCGGATATTCTGGGCAATATCGAGAAATTTCGATGCTGTAAAATGGCGTGAGAATAACCACTCGTGTGTAAATAATCTTTGCCTGGAAACTATCATAATACAAACAAACGCTTTCTGAAGCGTTAAATTTTTTCTTTTGTTATAATGTAACAGCCAGCTATAGAATGCGATAACGGTTTTCAATGAATTTTCAAGTAAAATATAGTCATTTGAATATTCTCTAGTTTAGCAAAGCAACTTTCTCTTGCGATAAGATTTTAAACGGAGCAATTTGTAACGCATAAGTTCAAATTATGCTACAGCATGAGATGGAAGATAAAATTAAAGTGTACATTTTTCTTTTCAATTGTGCCCGATAAAAGAATCTTCTACAATGGTAAAATGTTAAAGAAAATGTGCGAAACAATGTATGCATGGTTACATATGGTTACATCATTCTATGGTTACATCGTTTTAATCTTTTTGTTGGTAATTTTTTTTCGAAAACGGTATGGGCCATGTAAAATCTAAGTATAAGTCATGTAACAATAAATAGGCGACATATGCTTGATAGCTTCCATGCATATAACGTGAAAAATAGCCCTTAGTGTGAAGTCACTTTGCATTAGAGAAGTTCGGACACAGTCAGTGCATGCCTATTTAGATGTCGTGGTGGAAATAATAAATAACAAGTACACCGCTTCGCACTTATAGACATGTAATAATAGGAATCGGTAGTTATACGTTTGGATTTCCCGATGTTTTTTTTAGGATCAGTTAATGTTTTTCTAAAGTATTAATACGTCCTTACAAGTTTACACTGCCGACTTCCCATTGCACGCACACAAAATATACAAAAATGGAATGCCTTGGTAACTAAGTGTATATCTATTAGTTTCATCACCTAATGAGATAAAGTCTTATGATGAGATGCGTGCCGACAAAACAATCAAGAGCGGCAGTCTCATAATAGACTATGAGATGACTCGAGATATACCTTGGACACAGGACTGCTTTTAATGAACTCGGCCATTACGGAACACGTTTAGGATTACTTTCACACTGTCATCATGCCGTTATGACAAGTTTATTAATTCGTGCAAACGAGTAAATTTTAGGTTCGGGTGCAATGGCTACAAAACGTAAACAGCAAACTATCCAGTTTCTCTTCGAGGCATCGCCTGAGAACAACATTACAAGATGTTTGATCAGTACAACTTCGAATACTTTTGAGAATGGCGAGGGGCGGAATGCTTCAAGAGAGGTTTCCTTTGAGAAGGAACCGGATGAGGCTAGACACGCTGATCACATAATAGAGAGAAGAGGGTGTCAGCCATTTTCCATTAGCGTTGAGACTAATGGCGAAGAAAAGAAAGACAGCGAACAGTTCCCTTCTGGCAGACGTGAAATGGATTCACACAAAGTAGCTGAGCTAAATGACTTTGATGAAAAGAGAGAAAATAGCTGTAAGGAAATTCTTAATAAAAAGGTAACTTATAATATCTCTTGTACTGAAATTAATGTCAATGATAACATATTCGTTGTATAGTATATTCAAATGATGTATGTTCATTACTATCACGATTATGATGGGAGCATCCAAAAACATATACTTGTATAAATATGCATTACTTGGCTGTAGTATTGGGTAACAAAATTTTATAAAATTAAGTCATTGACTAACGAGATTATTTAATGTGTCATGTTTTTAGGTACATGTCATGTCTGTTATTAAATCCATTCATGTATCAGAACATCTATAATCGATTATAAATCTCGTAATTTTTAAAATTCGTAAAAATTATAGCACTGATGGTATGGTTATAGTCGTGCCAATTTATAGTAGAAATTTATTTAATTTGTAGAAGTTTAATTTTCATTATAGTGAAGCTTGTAACTGGAACAGACGATAGTGATCTCATAATTTCAACTTCTTGTCTCTTATTCAATACAGGAAAATTCGCTAGGTCGAACGAGAACTGAATTTAATATTGCGAACTTAACGTGCGGTGATAGGCGAGACAGCAATACGAAATACACTATTCCTGGCTCCGAAGACATGGCTAATGAAGATGAAAGGTATTCATCAAAAAACACGAATAGGTTTAACCTCAAGGATAAAAATAAAGGTATCCAGAATGACTCTATTCACACGAATTATCAGGCAAAAAGTTTTGAAGTTCATCCTAACCAAGACACCGAAATTAATAATAGCTTTGATAATTATAAATATTATAGCAATTACCATAATATGAGTTCACAAAACACACAGGCTAATCCCGAAGGCAAAGAGTCGCGAGATTTATTTCCGCTTCTGGGTGATTCGAAAAATATCGAAACGAATGATGGAGGTGAAAATTCAACACTCGAAAACATATATAGGAATAAAGAACACCCAGTTTTCGGTAAATTTGGTGCTACAACTTATGAGGGAAACGAATCAAAGTACCTTCACATTATTGATTATGACATACAAGAACCGCCTCCGGTTATTAAGTCTTTTAAGAATTCCGATCATTCAACAGCCGAAGAACAAGTTAAAAACCCATCAAAAATTGAAGACATCGAGAAAAGTGAAAGTTTAGGAGAAATTAACAATAACACTGAACGGACATTTCACGAAGCCGGGTCAAAGCATTCACTTGATTATAAGTCCAAAATACAATTGCCGGATTTGCTTAATCCTCAAAGATTACATGGAAGGCAAATAAAAGAGAAAGCTAGTCTACAAAGCGATAATGACATCGACGGTGGAAACCAGTTTACGTTGCAGAAAGCTTGTCCGATCACAAAACAATCTGAAGGCAAGGTCAGGAATTTGGTACACGAGTATGAACTGCAGGTGTTGAACGAAGATCATCCAAGACAAGATGAAAAAAGTGGAAACCAGAGTATTTTACTTCCGAAAAGCAAAAACGCTGCCGTGAAATTATACGATCACAAAAATCAGTCTAAAAGTAAAGAATGTTGTGCAACTTATGTTCGGCCGTTGAACATAGAGAAGCCATCGGACCTAGAGAAGCCATACAATTCTGGAATGGACAAGCCTGTGGACAGTTATAACAACAGCAATTCTCATTCAAAAGCAATGGAGAGTAAAAACATATCTCTTTCTAGTTCAAGTTCAGTCGAGCGTTCACCTGATAGCAGTAATACGAGTGCTTTCACTCCACTAGTCAAGGCACAGCGTTTGGCTGATAGCGATGATGAAAATCGTAGTGTAACTCGATCATTCCCATTAAATGAAAAATTGGGATTAAAATACGAACAGCACACTTCAAGAAGTTCTCCTCGTGTTATTAAAGCGCATTGGTACGATATTCAGAGTACATCCCGACAGTCCTCGAAAGCGGTACTGCAGCCATCTAGGCTCAGAAAATGGAAAAGTTTAGGGGAACTTGACAGAATGGAACAGGCAGAGGAATATGAGCTACCTGAGCATTTAAGCAAAACAGAAACATGTGTACCTGAGGAATATCTTGAATCAGACTTCACCTCAAGATTTGAAGCAAAACGAAATAATCAGACCCTTAGCTCTGGTCTACATGCTAATTCTCCATCAATTGGACTTGCTACGAAAACAAAATCCCCTTTTTTAAGCCGGAAATACGAAAATCCGGCTAGACACACCCAACAGGAAGACAACTCGTCTTATTCTTCATCGTCATTTCATAGAACAAGAGAACATGGTAATCTCAGTTCATACCGATCCACTCAGTGTAAACCAGATCAATCTCCCATGAAAAGATCTCCTTTTTTAAGACGAAAACATGAAGAAGGTAGAAATAGCGCAAATGTTGGTAACACCTCCGGTACTTCATCCTTATTTCAAAAGACGAGTAATAATAATAATGCTCCTCTCAGTTCTTCGCCATCTTCTTGGGGTACTTCAGACCAAGGTGACGTAAAACAATCACCCTCAAGTGAAATTGACAAAAAGGATAATACCTCCTCCATTTCATCGTTATTTCAAAGCATCAGCGGCAATGGAAACCTTAATTCTTTCTCCACTAATTTAGTACAACCAAGTGAATCTTCTGTACTACGAGCTTCAGCACCGAGAAAGAAATACGAAAACCCCAATGAAGCTATCCCAAGCGACTCTTTCCTTTTCCATCCAATAACAGATCAAAATAATAATCTTAGTTCTTCGATGACTGTTTTGGAAACACTAGATCAATCTCCAATGAGGCGCTCCCAGAAGATGAAGAATCTGCTCAATATTGAGTACTACGATATCAATTCAGATGACGAATTAAATAGTAAGATCAAGCGAAGGTCGAGGACGAAGAGTCTGAACGATCAAGATAGAGAAACGGTGGCGAATGTCCCAGCAAGGCGTGAGTTTAGGAGTAGTGAGGATTTGACACGTTCCGGACGTGCGAACCAAGAAGAGGTAAATCGTGTAAGCAGAGATGAGGAACAGGTGAGTAGAGTTGAATAGAGTTCAGTTATATTCAATGCATTGCATTAAATTACATTCGAACGTCCCGGTATTTCCAATGGCTACTTCCACCGTGCAGCTTTTCCAAGCTTCCTCAAGAAGCCAAAATGACAATTAATGTTTCCCAACATTTCGTTACACAATCAACCATTTCCTATTGTAGCACTGTCTGTGCGACGGGTACAATTCGTATACGCCCAGTACTGTTATAAAGTCCCCTGGTGATTCTGCTCAATAACACACACATCCTCAGGATACGTGATACCTTCAACCTTGATGAATACTGTATATAACATATCCAAAGAAATTGCGACTCCGATTTTTTAAACATCTTCCAGCAAGCGCTATTTACAATAGAGAGCAAGAAGTAGTAGTTTTCACCACCAACTTCATTAAATAATGTGTGTTCTTGTCCTATAGGCTTGGCGAACCAATACGAATTATGAGAACTTTGATGTCACATCCGCAGCGAACAATTCTTCATCAAAAGGGCACAGCAAACCAACATATGCTGCAAAACTGGTCAGTCACGACAAAGAAAAATTGGACGAGTACCAAAGGCATTCTCAAGTGCAGGTTCCAATGTATAATACAAGAAATGTTCATACCTCTCTTAAACCAAATACTGCCATTACAGTCAATTCAAATACGAAAGGCTTAAATTCACATGAAAGATATTCAAAACGGCAGCTAGGAAGAGATAAAGGCATAACTGTCAGAGAGATAGAAAAAGGTAATGACCTTTCAGGATACAGTACGAATAACACGCGACCAAAAGAAAGTAAAATTGATGGATTAAAGCAATACAGAAAAGATATGAATACAGTCAGTACACTGAAGCGAAACGTGAAAAAATTACCGAGTACATTATACAAATCTAAAGATAAAGCAGGCAAAGGACATGCGCATCACAAGGAAAGTAGCAAGGATAACAAAGAGTCTAAATCTACAATATACCCGAATGAAGACTTCAAAGCAAGTGAAGGAAAATACAATATCGCAAAGGCAGAAGAGGAGTGGAAGAAGAGATATGGTAGACTTCCCTACAACAAGAAAGACCCGCTTCATCAATCTTCTGACAAAGATTTTAGTATCCTGTTCAAAAATACTGTAGATGAATGTGCAACTCAAAATAGCACAGGACAGCGTGGTCTCTCAAAGAAGAGATTTTCTCTAGAAGAAGCCATAAGAAATACTTCTACATCAAGCTTGTTTAGTCCAAATAACAGCGTGAATGAGAAATCGTCAAACAGCATAGCAAGAAACTCGGACGATATTTCCACCACGTTACATCAGTTATCAAGCTACGTGATATCTGGTTACAAGGATGATTCCAAAGAGAATTCCAACCATATTTCTTCACAAGGTGATCAAGAAACAAAAGCAGCAGTTGCAGTAAGATATAGGCGATACTATCTAGACGACGAAGGAGATCTCTCCCATATTCTGGATAATACTACAGAGTCCCGAAAACTGTCCATGTTGGTGCATTGTATTATAAGGCTGAGAGAAGTGTATAGCATTCAGCCTTTCCCAATGTCTCCTCAAATGGAAGAACATCCTATGAACTTAGGGAACCCTCAGCTTCGTGACGCAATTCAGAGCAAGCCAATGAAGGTTGTCAAAGATATCATATTGGCCAATAAGAGCGTAGATATCAACACGTGCAGCCAATCAGGTGATTCGGCGCTGCACAGAGCTGCAATTGAAGGCGATATAGATGCAATTCGCATTATCATCAACCAAGGTGGGAATGTGAACATAAGAGATAGAAATGGATTTCAGCCTGTTCATCAGGCGCTGAGTTATCACCATTACAAAGCAGCGATGTTTTTGATGGATTGTGGCGTGGATCTTATGAGTTATACGTCGAAGAGGATTCAGCAGTTCGCGAGAGTTAGAGCGATAGCAAGGCAATACCTGAGACAGACATTGAAAACCCCGCTGTAGTTTTGTTAGTAATCTAACAACCAAAAGCACCTACGAACTGAAGAAGTTCATATTAAATTGCTGCATGAAAGGCAACTGTTACAAATACCAAGCAATATTTTGAGAATGTTATCTTAAAAAGACCTACGGCAGTTATTGAATTACGAATATTGAACGGATATTTCAAACAAAAACGTGATGAAATTATAAGGTTCATAGTTCAGTTGAGCTAAGAATCAATTTTTAACTTTTTAGGATGCATGGATTAGGTTTGTACATTCTTTTGAGTAGATTAATTGTTACGCATCAGTTAACCTATGTTTTAGATTTTGTTAGGTCCAGTACTCTAGCAGGCAGAAGCAAAATTTCAAATTAATTCTTACAAACTTATTGCATTTTTTGTACAAATATAGAGCTATTTTACGATTCCCTCCATTTCGTCTTAGCACATGGCTTATAAATTTTAGTAAATCGATATCTTACAAATAGCCTTAGCTATAACAACAACTCTTGTGCAACGGAAATTTACAACCTTAAACAGCTCGTAATGCGCATGTCACAAATATGAAACACATTATCACATACATACATTATAAGGGGATAAGTCTTATATGCACGTAAACGAAAGTAAACATACCTACCAATACAAGATAAGGCTTCAAAAATCAAGATGAAAACCTTGCGACGGTATGCGCTTGAAGTGTTCTTTTTTTGTCGCCATTTTTTTTTACTCTTTTCAGCATCGAAGTATTTCGGTTTCCAAAATATTTAGATGCAGTTTTTCGATGCAGTTTACGGCTTTGCTTCAGATATCCAAAGCAATGCACGTGTATACTAACATTTCATATATAAGATAGAACTCAATCGTTCTTGAGACCAAAACATGCACATTAAAGGGGGCTCAAAAATGCGGTACAATCTCCTTGAATGCGTCCGGCTGCTGTAATATTTTTTCTCTTCCTTTTAAAGCGTTCATTATTTAAGAGAAAAATATAAATGCTTGCACATTCTTCGCACAGTCTGGGTTTTCAAACCGAAAACTCGGTAAGTAGGAAAATTGGCCTTCTCTTGATAAAAACTTGGCACCTCAATGTACGCATGCGTATATGCCAGATTGTACCACATATTTAGGCCACCTGTTCGATCGTAACAGATTTTCATTCTGCCGTATGTGATATCATTGTCAACTCTATGTCGCGATTATCTTGCAACAACAGTAATCAGGTACGCCAGAATGACAATCATGTTTATGACCGTGTCGCATCTGAAAATCACAGGGATGCACGGTAAAGATTCGATAATTTCATGATTTCAGCACGCGCTCTATTTCAGCATGCGCTCTGTTAAGTACCAAAAGTCTCAATGTACCAATTATCGAATATTTTGCTTCCCTCTAGCAAAGTTAAGTGGAATAGATGGTTTGGAAAAAGAAAAATATCAAATTTCTACACCAAGATGCAAGGCCATGAGAAATATCACTCACATCTAAATGTGGTATGTTTTTAAATACAATCAAATTCAACACCTTTTTCAAACCTGTTCCATTTCAATTAACTTTGCCGTAAACGCTTTCGCACAAAAGGCTACCTCGGTTACCTTTTCAATCGACCGGTATACTCAACAACAGGTACTTACGGTTAGGATGGCCGCTGTCTAAAGTCATCGTCACGGTGAAGTTATAGGACTCTCCTTTCTTGAGGTAAATGTACTTAGGTAGTGCATCTTCCATGCTGGATATGTCCATGGTTTTTGGATGTCTCAGTGAAGCTCGTTGATTGTCCAAGTATTCCTGTATAAATATATTCAAAAGCTAGGGAAAAACGCGGTATTCACTGCATTCGTCAACTTTTTCCCCAGTACAGTGGGCATAGGCTTTGCCAACGTCGATAGGGGAGAAGGACATAACAATGAAATTAAAAAGAGAATTATAATGAGGGTTTTTTCATAGGACACAAGTGAGAAAAATTGCCCAAATTGGATCATTTTAATGTTTATTTCTATATTTATTTCGAAACTGCGAGATCCCATTTACCACAGTTAATAGAACCATTAACTGTGGATTTAAGTGGGTAAAACTTCGATGGTGGAATGTGTAGATTAGATAACTGCGGCATTACCCTCAGAAAATCCACGGAGACCGGTACAGTGTTTACCATATAGGGCACGTCGACTACATCAACAATGAGCTGAAGGTGATGGCTTGTGTGAGGTGCCCGATAAACGATTGAGTATTGTAAACAATGTTTTGGGATTGTTGAGGTTGTTTGGTAGTCCAGTATTGATGGTGTGTTCACGATATCGTCATCTTGGGAGGTTTGTTCGTGGATGAGTTGGGAGTGTGACAGGATGTCTTGGACCGCCACTTTGCTACGGAAAACACAAGGAGTGTTGGAGGATTGGTTCTTACACTGAATAACCTGTAGAATAGATATATGTGCATGAATATATTGTCAAAACTATAAATTGTCAAATCTATAAATCATTTAATTGTAAAATTACTAAATTTGCTGTCAGACAAAGGCCAGATTTCTTTGAACTTTGTTTGAAATGTGTGAACATGCAAGATTTTTTATTAAAGATTTCTTTATAAAGTCTCCAATACGCTTTACATGAAAGCGTGATTCTTACTTTCCAAAGTAATCCAGCAGAATCGTGAAATAAGGAAATGATATTGAAATCTCCAACACACGACGATGATTCTTGAACGGTAATAACACCAATATTCCATTCATTTGCAGTCTCCAGATAATGAACCACAGCCGAGTCTGTGTGTCCCCACCAAACCTAACGGGTAGGGAATGTTATTTGGTCGAACATTTCATAGCTAAATTAAACGGGGCGATAAAGGTCCAGATAAGAGGGGTGGGGTCCCGGACAAGGAGTTGACGCAATATCACGGATTCTTATACCTGTTGTGAATCTGTTAAGAATGCATATGAACCATCTTCGGCAGACGTAAACACCGTGATGTTTGACATGTGGTCGAAATCCCACAAGCAAAAGAAATCTTCGCCCCCGTTAGGACTGTAATGACAAACCATTTGGATTTGTAAAGCAATAGCCAAGAAAATTGGTACCAAAAAGTGTAAAAAAAATTTACATTGATCATCAATACATATCACTGATGATCCTTTTCAAATATACCCACTCGCTAAACTAAACATCAAGAATTGTCACGTAAATTTAAAGTCTGTTTGGTATACCTATAGAAGAGGACGTTTCCCCAAGCGAAAAGGTTACTGCCAGTATTCCGGGTAAAAGATAAACCCTTCAGGTGAACAGGCAAGCTTCCGGTGGTTGAGGAATCTAACAACGTCGAGTGGTCACCGTGTTTATCATCGCCTGGATAAAAAGGACGATGATTTAATCAATCTTGAGCTAGGCTCGCAAGAACGGGAAAGGCATGCTTCGACAAAAGGAAGATTTATGAAATGAAAATGGAAAAGATTCACAAAATCTAATCAAACCTCGACTGATGTTTGGCAACGATAAAGGAAATTTGAATCGTATTCCCCACTGATCATCTATAAAGCGATGGCGTGTAGTAAAACTGGTAAAAATTAAGCTCTTCGAATGAAATTCCTTTCGTGCGATTTATCGTGATATCATGGAAATCTTTACAACAATACTTACTGGAATATCCCACAACATAATAGTTTGTCGAATACGACACGAGAAACACGTGTAGAAATTCCTGAATCAGATTCATACTCGCATCATGTATAATACAACTAGCTAAAAATAAGAGGTTATTGTATTAGCTGATAACGTTAAAACTTTCAAAAATGATGTCCATTTTCGTCTACCTCCTTGGCCGAGAGTCGATGCAAGAAATTGGCATAGAGTTTTGTTTTCAACATCGAGCAGTTGGATGAACTGTATGGAAGTTTCTGGAAAAATATGTCACGTTATAGGCTATGGTTTAGTTAGGTTGATTAAAGAGACCTTTGGCCTTGGTTTACTGACGAGTTTGGCCTTAAATGATTTTTGTGCCGATGGAATCGCAACATACCCGATGACACATCTGAGATATATACTTTGGAGGGGGAGTCTCGAATAGCTAGTACTTTGATAGCTCCTGGAAAAGCTTGTGGTGGTCCAATTAGCTTACGAATGCAATGACGAAAAGCTATCTTCGGCTGGTCTGGAAAGAAAATTTAGGAATTGGTTTCGAGCCTAAATTCCCAGGTTTTTTGCGGCCAATTCTGTCGCGATTCAAGGAAATATAACCAACGAAAGCTTACATGAATTGGTGCTAATTTCTTTCTGAAGTTCTTGGACACCAAACTGCAAAGAGCGATTATATGTATTTACGCAATTTGATTTTATTTTATTCGCTTTCTGAACAGGATCAATACAAAATGGCTGTTATGGAGAATGTACTCACACAAGTTAATAACAAAACTCTGTCTGGTAACAACAAGGATCCCCTAATTTCAAGCTCTGAACACGGGTCGGGACAGATTTTCGACAGACCAGATTGACTGATGTTATACACCTTTAAAGAAGAAAATAACGTAGGATTTTCTACAGGTTTGAAATGATCTACTCAAATGGATATATAACTAGAACATGATCCTGGGGTGGAGGTGTTTCTTTGGTATCAAGACTCATTTAAGTATAAAAAAACAGCTTTAGCTAAGTATAAAAAAAGAAAACCAGTATGTTGCTTTACTTGGGAAATATTGCCAGTGAATAAAACGTCTTAAAAGGAGATTTATAAATTATGTAATGAACGAATCATCATGCTCAGGCACATATTTTTCCTATAACCTTTATAACTGAAAAGCGTTTAAACTCAGAGTCAGTGAGAAAGCTGTAATCTGTGTTTTGAAAACCATTCACCAGCCAAAAAGGCATATCTAATGGTACGTTGTTAATGACTATTTTTTCTTTCACAACAACTCCATTGGGTAAATCAGTGACGGTGTCTCCGAGGTCTTTTTGATCTTGCATTCCAAAACCACGAGAATGGATGATCAAACTATGAGAAGTGAAGGCATTTTTTTGTTGTTCAACGCAATCCATTTTTTGATATAGTGGTGTGATACACATTTAAAAACACGCAATGGCATGTTTTGTTTATGCATATAACTTTCTGTGTATTTTTCTTCCCATCTCCCACTTGTGTCTCCTAATTCCTATAGTCGCATTTTGGTCAATCTTACTATCTATTGATTGAATTGCAGTCGAGGCGACGTAAATGCGAAGCATAAACTATAGGCCTCTATTATCAAGACGCTTGGAAATTTTTAGTGCGGCGTTATATTCAAATTAAGCTATTCCCAATCAAGGCTATATACTGTAGATTCAATATAACCAAGGAGAAACGTAGCATGCATGCGTCTTTGAACAACTTCGCACATCAAAGGTGGTATAACAACAACCTTTGCATGAATAGACAAAAACTCCTCGAGCTTTCAACAAAAGGGCCGTTGAAAGCTTTCTCGAGCTTTCGTTAAAAGGGCAGTTGTTCAGTATACATTTGATGCGATCTTGTCAATGTATATTTATTGTTTTACAACCTATGCAACTTCCGGCACACGACAAGCGCAAAGTTTGAAGCAAAATTTACCAAAACCCAATCTACCTTGCTTCCTGAATCTCTCGGGGGTTTGTTAGAAAACATCTAACAACAACATCGGCGTCCTGGACGGTCAGTGGAGCCAGCCAAGCGAGATCACAAAGATGCGTTTCATTGCATTGTGGACTCACCAAATTCTCGTCAACTTCGAACAAGAGGTTGTGTTTGGTTCCCTGTTGATCGCCACAGTCAGTTGAGAAAACTTGAGCAGTATCGATATTACTGTCGTCCCTACCACAAAACGAAACGTACATAGAAACCTGTCCTTGTCTCTGCCCAATTCACAGCATGCACGTGCAGTGCTTGTACTCAGAAGTATACGGTATTAAACATGTTTAATCGCTTATTTCGAGACACCCTAATATGCCGTGCCATTTAGACCGACTTCATACTTTTGTAAACATCGGCAGTGTCCATTATCGAACGTAAATCGCGAATCACAAACGATAATCGTACTCAGATATCAATTCTTCGTTTATTCATATCTGATGACCCAAACCTTTCGGCTTTGAAAGGCTGATCTCCAGTTTTTCCTCAGTTTAAAACGGCGCGCCCGATCAATCTTTTGTTGTGGCCGCTTTCTTTTGAAATGCGCAGCAAAGCGGAACAAATCACATTAGGTGCCCATGGCAGCATAGCTAATCGCGCCGCTGCGGCCTGCCTTTACAAAAACAATAGACTCCAGAGCAGTCAACATTATATTGGTTATGTAAAGTCTTATTATGAATACGGTCAGTTTAAAATTTATTTGCTTTCGCTAAAAGTAAACTAATTTAGAAAAGCGCGTCACATGATCAAGTCGCGTTTGGTCTAGGTGGGCCAGCTTGGGAAACAAATCGGAAAGCGTTAAATGATGAAGATGCAAAGAGAAATACATTATTAATAATTGAAAAATAAACTAATATTTTTTTTTCATTTCGTTTAATGACTGCCGACCGCACCCCGCTACTAGAAGCTTAATTGGCAGGGGGGGTTGAATATTCATATAGATATAACAATAGCTAACAAAAGAAACCAATCGGGCATATGATGACGTTAGTGGAATAAAAAAACAGACATTGTCAAAGTTGCATACTTAAGTAGCTATCTATTTTGATTTGTCAAAAATTATTAAGTTCATACACAACCATTTCTAATGCACCTAATGTGGGCCACAATTGGCAGTACTGTCTTTAGAGAGACCATGGCAGAGCTGAATCAATATCACATACTTACATTAAAAGAAAATTTCCTTCAAGATTTGATGTACTTGAGGATTGTTGAAATTGAACCAAAGCACCTTCGATGTACATGACTTTGGTCACATTCATGAAATTATCAAGACCATAGCCAGTGATTTCCAGCTTCAAGACTGGAGTATACCCTGAGTGTACTAGGGACCTGGCCAAGAATGGACTCACCTGCAAAGGGGTATGATTTATAGGTACAAACAATTTCACTAGTAGTTGAATAGATGGGATAGATGGGATGTCCTTTCTGCAAAACTGGCATGGCCCTACTACATGTGTATTCAAACTCCCTTTTTTAAATTTCTATACAACACATTATTTTTAAATTACTGCTAATAACTGCATAAAAATGGGTGAAAATAAGCTATAAAAAATGCTAAGCAGCCTGTTGAGCAGGGAAATCGCAAATCCCTTAAATTTTCATAAACAGTTTAAGTTTTAGGTGAAAATATTATCCCTAAGCCGAAAAATGATACACGAAAAATGATACACGTCATAATATCAAAATACACACAATTACAATAAGTTTTCTATTAAACTATAGATAAATTTAGACAAATTCAAAAAATAATTAGAGTTTATTGCAGATATAAATTAAAATTAATAAGTACTATATTGGCAAATAATTCCTTTTTTATTGCATTCCTCGATACGAGGAATACATTTGATTTGTACAACTAAAAATTGCCTGTTTGGCGCCATTTCGAGCATAAAATTCTAATTTTTCGTACCTGGTTGTCGCACAATATGCGAAGTCTTATAAAGTACGCATTTCCAAGGCTTAGCGCGCTTTGCTGTTGACGAAATTCCACAATATTCTCAGAGTCCGTGACCATTTCCAAGACATCCATCGCCCATTTGCAAGTTTGCTCCATTGCAAAACCTCTCGACAAAACGGTCAAAAATAACGCAAAACTTCTCAAAAATTTCATATTTTTATAGATAAGCACCCCAAGCAGCTACGCGATGTTGAAGGAAAATGTTAAAAAGGATTTTTAAATGATAAAATGTAATATTTTCAAAATTTTAAAAAAGCCCCAAAAATTTACTTACAGAACCTCGTGTGAAATAAGAATTGTGACCGCAAGGCGTCATGGGAGAACCTTTCAGCCAATCAGCGTGATTCTCATGTCCAGGGTCTTCTTCTAGCTCGGTTTTAAAGATGGCGGCTGCAAAAGCTAGTGAAATTCCAAAATTGTTTGCTGTTACTTTAATTCGTAGCGGAATAGGGCAGCCGTACTGCGAGAAAAGAACGCTCAAAGCTTTGGGATTAACAAAGCTTCGGAAAACTGTCATTCACAAGAACACGCCGTCTGTAAACGGACAGTTAAATGCAGTAAAACATCTTGTATCCATCAAGCCGATCGAAGTTCTCTCAAAGCCTGATGCGAGGAAAGTCAATGAAGATAGCCAAATCTCAACTGAGTGCGACAAGACAGTATTTTTAATGGAAAATGGATCGTTTGATCTGGACAAATACTTGCAGTATTGCAGGAAGGAGTCAAAATCGAAGTGCAAATCGCCAGATTTCACACCACTGTGATTTGTTTGGGTTTTATATACTCCAGACTGGACTTTCAACGAGTGAAATTTGATAATATGAGATGAAATGTCGAATTACGACAGGTTGTGCTGTTGAAGTCGAGAAATGAAATGGGAAGTACAATTACATTTGAAACTCTCAGATTGTCAGATTTCTTCTTAATTAGTTTATACAACCACATTTCAAGAAAAAAGATTCTAATATTTTGTTAATGAGTTAAAATGTATTGTCATTATTCCAGTTCATTACATAACTAAAACCATTCCAATTCTTCAACCAGAAGTGAGTTTGTCTAAATTACAGACTAGTGATTCTCAATGGAATGGTTCTTCTTCTCAATGGAATGTGGTCATAAGGATTCCTAAGGATTTATTTCATAATCTAAAACAATTCATAAAGAATTTTACAACAAATGCCCTGCTCTGTTGTGTGGTTTGAAAAAGAAAACAATTCATTGACAAAAAACTACTGCAAATTTCTTTTAGCCTAATTTCATACATTCTTCTTCTATGTCTAATATATTTTAAAGATAGAAAAGACAATTTTGTGAAAAAAAAATTATTTAGACACTGTTTGAATTCCTATATCTTCCTAGCACGGTGTTTTGGTAGCAGACTTCAGTGCTACATGACAAAAAATACACCCTTTTAATAATTACGCGATTGGCAGGGATTAGGATTGCACTTGAGATTAGGGTTAACCCTAATCATTGACCATACACCTAACCTTAGACATAATCCTAGAGGATTACAAATTCGTGTATATAGGATTTACTGAACATGAATTTACTACCAGACGCGTCTACTTGGCCGAAAGTCATGTGTTCGTGACGTAATTATCGAAAGGGTGTATTGGTCTTTCGTTACATTTCGCAGCACATGTTGTAAGCTGCTGAGCTTTGTAAAACTTGCCAACGCTGGAGTGAAATTGATTTATAATGGGACTAGTGTATTGGGCAAGGTTATAGTTTGACACCAAATGACCATGATTGTGTTTTGACGCCTGATTCGCACTTTGCTATGCCAATTCCTTTGGTTTCGTGGTTTCGACTGTCGAGACAAAAGAAGGAACCTTTGAAACGTAGCTGTTGATCCATTGTCAATAACCAATGCTAAAATAGAAACACCAAAAATACTATTTGTCATTTTGTTGCCATTGTTACCTACTGATCTTTTGACCTACTGAAGGTCTCTAAACTTGCCTAAGTGGCATTAATGGAATCAGGTACCCATGCAGTCATAATAAAAAAAGATTACTCTGTAAATAAAAAATACTCTGTAATTATTATATGTTACTGTACCTGACTAGGATGTTTTTCCAGGCAAGGTTGAAATCTTACAACTTCGTTGATCCGGCCAATTTTCACCGACAAGCAAAGTTCTTCGTGCTTGAGTTGTCCGTGTTTTGTAAACGTCCAATACTGTGGGAGAATACGACTAATTTTAACATATCGAAACTATGATTGGCGTACAACTTAACCGCCGTTTAAGCTAAACGGCTTTCGAAAAGCAGACGGTCCCTGCTTAGTAATACTAAACTTAGCCTCACCTGGTTACCTCCGGCGTCGTGACATTTGAACATACCAACAGTACCGCCTGCATTATTGTGACCTAGCGTATCTACACAGTCATCTCCCTGTCTCAATTCGCCGAAAGCTTGTGCGTCCTCTTCCTTCGGAACACTACACAAAGCAAATAATAAACATCAATTAATCATCTCTCCCCGAAAGTTAAACCTTTCAGCATAACGTTCAAACGGATTGATAACAAATCACAGGTCAAAAGGAAATGGAAAAATGTTGAAAAAATTGATGAAACGTTGCTCAAAAGATACCATATCAAAGTCGGCAGGATGAGCTTTTTTAAATCACGATTTGTATGATGTATTTCTGTGTGTAGAAAACTACAAAGCCAATAATGGGGGGAATATATTATAGTAACTTACTTTAATTCCGGGTACACGTTTTTGACGTACCAACTGAATGGTTTACAACCTAATTTCATTTTCAGATCAATTCTCTCGCGAATGCTAGAAGAATAATTCACCAGTATAAGTAACAAGAATCGTAATAAGGATGGAATTAAAAGCAAAATTTCAAGAACTTACTCTCCATAAGGGATGTTCTTTGCATACGGAACGGCAGCGTAATAATATCTCTTATAATTATCAAACCAAACTTCGGCAGCTCGTCTACTATTTCTAAAAAAAGGCAATTGAAAAAGAAGCTAAATTTTTAATGTCTTGTTTTCGATAATTGTCATGATTTAAGGATGAGGTTGTATAAAAAAACGTAAGCGTAGACACAAAACAGCTATTTCCGGGGAACTTCAAAAGCGATGCCTTTTTGTATTAGAGTCGACGCGTCACACCTTACATAATGACTAACATCAGATATAGTGACTAACACTTGACCACTTCCTGCATGATAAAGTTGCAAGTGGCGTTTCTACAGACAGTTGATATTCGATGAAAATTGACGTCAGTAAACTAGAATTGACCGTCAAAAGTAAACGCGACTCACAACTTGCGTCAAATCGCATTCTCCTTTGACCTTTGCAAATCATTCTCTAATTTCATTCAAGATTCTTTGACATCAACTTTTGAAAAACACACCTTACGACTATCGCGGACAACGCGAAAACAAATTTCTTACTTTTGAAAAACATTCATACTTCCACCAGGGAAGTCGTAAGGATGTCTATTGCGGAAAACATGTCCGACCCTTGAACAAGGCAAGATTTCCATCGCCCCACCACATAACCACACGCGAAATGATATCTCTGCAACGAAATTGACAATTAATCAAAATGTACTGTCACCGTCTTCTACTACACTCTTCTTCTACTATCTTTCTTCTTGCATTTCAATTCGATGCAAAGTCATTCAGTTTTTACACTTTTCACTTAAGCTGATCTAGTTAGGCGTTTAGGGGTAATATAACAAATGGCATACAAGTCAGTAGGTACTAACGTTGACTAAGTCACTAAGTGACAGTTTATACTGTAATAAATTACTCGTATCACTCTTTAGGTTGCTTATTAAATACATCTCGCAAAAATACCTAAATTCTCTCCACCCCATACATCCATGTCGAGATCGTATCTTCCAATTTCATAGAACCAAGCTTTTGAAATTGAAAACAGACCACCAGCGATGACTGGAGTTCTATTGCAAAGGTAAAATGAAACAATAGTAGAACTATTGTAAATATGTAACATTATAACACACTAAAACATTATAACAACTAAAATATGTAACATTATAACACACGAAACTTACTTGATCGGTGATATTGGGGCATTTCGTCTTTCAGCCAAGACGTGTTGAGGAAGATAATCCCATTTAAAATTCATGTTCCAACTGAACCCTTCAAAAAGACAACGTTTTGTTATGAGAAAATGTGAGAAAGCGTCAAAGTAACCGGAGATATTTGGAGTTAGAGTACGTGCACATGTCTTGACTTAAGACTCAACGTTGCCTACCTCCGCGTAAGTCAGGCGACGAAGCCAAATATTGAAAATTATCCATATTAATCACATCAATTATTGGAGAAACTAATGTTTTAGGATTCTATAAGGTGAAAATGAGCTACTGGTGAGACTACATGCATGTATGTATCATTGTTGTGGTGTTTCAGAAAACATTCATTCATTCAATCACTCCGTAGAGTTACCTGATTACATTGGGAGTTTTAAAAAGACTATGAATGAGTAGAATGACTATGAGACTCCTTGCTCAATCTCCAAAAAGTTACGGTTAAAAAGGTACCTGTTTGATCCTCAATAGTAATGGTTCAATCCAGTGTTTATTACATTCACAATGACTGTCTAAAAAGGTCAATACTGCACCCCTGGCAAGATTTGCCCCTTTTACCCGGCTGCGAATCAAACCTAACAAGATAACACAGTGAAGTAAGTAATGTTATATTAGCAAAAATTGTACAAAAGTTTAAGATGAAATGCAATGCAAAAAAGTGGCAGACAACAGCAGGAAATATAAACAAGCAATATAATTCACCTTCTCTACCGATATTTCTTATTGTTTTAACTTTGGGAAGTTTTTCCAACAACTTTCCATCATCCGCTGAAAGTTTTAAAAAGTTAAATTAAGTTGAGCATTGAGTTACACTTTATGTGATAAATAATTAATGATCTGCTGCAAACCAACATAGGCTTAGTTTAACCAATAAGCTTCTTCTATAGCCCTGTTTTAAGATGCAGCTCTTCCAGGCTTCCAGATTTCTCACTAAAATTCCTACTTTATACATATATTTCATCTGGAGCAATTCCATAGGCTTGTCTCGTGCTTACCATTTTTACTATTATCATCAACTAAAATTATATCTTTGAGTAAATGTTCAGGTGTTTGTACAAGTACACTAAAAATGAAAAGAAACTGGTTAATGGCTGAAAGGAATGTGTTTAACAAGTGATGGTATAGCCTACAGCTATTTGATATTGACCAACTGTAATCAAGCTAGATTCATTTCAAGTTAAGCTTGCTGTGCTGTGCACAGTTTGTTTTTGACTTACCTAACAACAGTCCTAAGTAGTGCTGCTCTTCCCTCATTATGAAAACAGATTATAACACTTGTAGTTGGTAAATCACTTGGCCAGGATTTTGACTGGCATCTGTTGGTATGAAGCAAAAAGGGAGTTTTCCTTTGTGTTTAGCATTTTAAATATCAATGACTACTGACAGTTATGGACAATATATAGTATATATAGAGAGTATATATATATAGAAAATATTCTATCCCATTCTCAAAGATATATCAAAACTTACTGTGCGTGTCTTACATCAGGTGGCTCACGGTTAAACGCAGCCTCTTCACTCGCTTTTTGATTATAAGCATTATTTGCATACGAATCCTCTCCTTCTTTTAATTTCCCCCCAGCCAAATAGCCATCAGCATCAAAACTTTCAATGCTTCTTGTATCAGAAGATAATTTATTGTGCACATTAGGTGCAGTTGCTATCTAAAGTAAAAAAAAGGTCGTTTCAAAGGTTTTTTTATTCTTCTAATGTAACAACAATTGTTGTGTTGAGTGAGCTGATTTGGGATGTTTTATCAATTAAGAAACTCTCTGAATTATAATATTAAATCAAGCCTTACTCCTGACTGACTTCAGACATCAGTTTGTATAAGTGTTCTTATTTTCTGTTAAGTTGTTCTATAGCAGGAATGCATATCAACCTTAAATCCCTCCTAAACCCCTTATATTTACATACCTGTAATGTCTGAGTAAACATGCATTGTGATATTATGTGAAAGACAAAAAATAATTTACGCTATCTGGGCAGCTAAACCAATATGTTTGTAGGCATTCTACATGAAATATTTTACATAATCTTGTCAAAAAAAATCTTGCTTTAAATAATTGTGTTGCTCTGATGCACAGATCACTTTTTAATATAAGATATTTAGGCTTAATATAACTTATTCTAATCTTGTTTTCGACAACATTTTAGTTATCAAGTATTCAAGTTTTTTAATATTCAAGATTCTGCCTATGCTTTAGTTAACATTCTATTAAATTGGCAACTAGTATTGAGTTTTTATGACAGGCCAACAGGGCAATGAAACACAATAAAAGTAAAAAATCAAATTTTTACCAGTTTGACTACATTAGATTATTATGATCAAAATCTATCAGGGTCATGATGCTTTATAGTCTTATAACCTGAGGTTTAAAGGAGATGAAAGAAAATTCAGGAAAGTATCAAAATACTTTGTAGTATAAACAAATTAAGTAGCATTGTATATAGTTGAGGAAAAAACTACTCTGGATTAAAAAGGTTTCCTTTAGAACTATATATTGTCACTTAATGGTGACAAAACACAGAGTTGGTTGAGTTGTTTTCAGGAAGATCTGTACTCAGGAAAATTCACAAATAGAGGAGAGATATGAAGCAAATATATGTTGGAGCAACTCCAGGGACTATTTGGGGCCCAAAAATGTCAAAGATGCTAAAAACAACAGCCTTCAGGCATTCATAGGTGGTTAAAGTCTGGAAATTTTCACAGGGCACTTCACATGGGTGAGAAGTCTTTCATGTGAACCAAAATATATTGGGGACAACTCTGAAATCTGGTTGATATTTATTTAGCTAAATGCAATTTCCTTTCGTATTAACAACTTATTCTCTGTTTGTTTCACATAGATACAATATACAGGTAAACAAAAATCAGACAAACTATTTATTCTTAAGTTCTTTCAACTGGGAAACACTCCAGTATAGATCTTGATATTTAAACTTTTACATTTTTTCACAAAAGACCGGTGTTCAATTTGGGGATTAAGTACTTCTATGGGGCAGTATTGCGAGTTGTTTAAACTCGATCGATATCTTATTCCAGATCTTATGATAAGAGATAAGTGAAAATATTGATACACTTGTTAATATACACGGAGGCAATTTACTACAATTCGAGATAAAAACAATTCTATTTAAACTTTAAAAGCTGTCTTTTTTGAATGTATTGTATTGTATTACCGAATAAGTACAATACACACAAGCCAAAAAGCTTTAACACGCTATAATAGAGTAGAAAGGTGTCAAAAAATCAATAAACTTACCCTAGAATCATCGATCTTCGACGTGATTCCTTCACGGTAGTCTACAGTACCACCATCAAGAAATTTATCGTATTCCACTAAATATGAGTCACCGTCGTGCGTCGCTTGATCGGATCTTTTGACGCCTGAGATAAAATAAATCACCCCAATAAACCATCCCGCTATAAAAAGACCGAGCAATGTTCGCGTCTTCAAACAGCGCATGGTATTGAACGATCAAAGCCAGGAAGATTTTTTAAAAGTCGTTTGAAAGCGCATAATTTGTTTTTGCGTTCCTTTTGCAAACGTGTGCCATGTTGACAAATTGACAAGAGGATTTCTATGGATATTAGTGAATACTTATGTATGAAGAGCTCGTGGATCGTGTTTTCTTTGGATGTACCAGTATATTTGTGGTTATTGTAGGAATGAAACAGGCATCATTGTCATTCATTACCCTAAACATTCATATGTGAACATAAATCTTCATCGGCAAACGTGTAAATTTACCGGTAAAATTTACCTACAAAAAAACTGTAAAATTCACCAGAAATTGTTCTTTCTAGTGTTATTGTAGATTTCGAATAATCTGGAACCAGGATTACGCTAAATCAGTCAGACTTTCTCAGTCAATCAGTCAACATCTTACTTTTATTACATTTTCACATTTTTACTTGAAGTTTTTAGTTTGTGCATTAACACTACGGGCTCAAGGAATACCACGTGTGCGCGATTTTATTTACATTTTATTAATTGTGGGAGGTAAACAAAGTTGCATAGAATAGATCTAGGTAAACAAACAAATATAAACATGTCGGGAATAAAGTGTTTAGGTAATGCTATGCGATTTACGTCGCGCATTACTGGTCAGGTTGGTTGAATATTTCTCTCCAAATCTACTTAATAGACTACATATTATATATTATTACTATATAGAGTACTTGAGTAGTTGAGTATATATAATATATTGCAAGGGTAAATTAACTATATTTTTTCATTCTTAGGTTCGTTTTGGTGTTTGCAAAAATATAACTAAAGGCAATTATTACTTTTTCAATTTTTCAAGTTCAGATATTTAAGATATTTTAATAGTAAGATATTTATTCAATCGTGACAATTATTATTTATTTGTTTGTTGACCTATTAAACCTATGTAATATATGTTTCGAAATTTTAGATATTATACATTCCAAACGAAAATCATGCACCCTGTCTGGTCTGAATTGGTATAACTTTTTTCATATAATTTTCCCAAATAATTTTCCCAATATGTGTCATGAAAACAAATGTTTATTAATTTGCAATCCCCTTGCAGGCCAAATGCTGATATTTCTACCAGTACATCCATGGTAAAACATTCTTACAGACCTCCAGTAGCACTAGGTAAAATAACCTACTCTGTTATCAAATGCTTTCTTTATTTATTATTAGAACAGGCAAAACTAACAGTGTAACTGTGTAAGGTGTGTATCTGGGTTGATTTATGAGCTAGATGGACAGGCTAAGAAAGTCTTTACAAGTCTAGGCTCTATAAACTATCTTCAGGGTTGCCACAAATTTTCCTCTGAGTATTTGCAAGTTATAAGAACTGCTCAAAATTTAAGGTGATTCTATTTCATACTCTTTTACAGGATGCCTAGCAACAATCTCACCACAACTAATAGATGGTTTGTCACAAAATTCCTGTAGTGATATGCTGGACAGCTTAGGCAGTGATGATGACAGTGACACTTGGTCCTATATATAGATTGTATAGAAATTTCATTCTAGCAAAATAAATATTTTATTTCTAAATGAAATATCTTGTGGGTAGATGTGTAGGGAACCTCTCACCCTCAAAAGTCTCACAAGGTTGTAAGCTTTTTAAATTTTCAAGAAACCTTGAAATCCCAGATAAAAAAATATTGACCAAAGCTGACCACCACTTGTTAGACACATTTTTATTCTATTAGAATAAAATCCGCAAGATGTCCTCCTTTTGTCCATAATTTTTTGGTGTTTTTTATAAGACAGTGTTTGTTATGTCTTGGAAACAATCATTCATCGTTTCGTAGCAGTTTGTATTTGAGAATTTTAACCATTTAAAGTTTGTGTAACGATATATAAAAAAAATATTAAATTATTGAACACAGTCCGGCCACCTGCAAATGCAAAGTGCAAACCAGCGTCTCGTCTCCTTGGAGACAAGCTTCACTATTTTACAACTTACAAGCCAGATTTTTTTCGAAAACTTTGTGAAATTCGATGCTTTTAATTACACAATGCTTGGGACAATTCAAATAACGGGAGAGGACTTGAACGACGTTGAAATCAATGATATTTGTAATTCTTTGAGCAACGGTTCTGTTCGCCTGTTATCTCTGAGAGGATGTCATATGGACGATGCTAGTTTCAAACGTATTTCAGAATCGTTAAAGACAAATGCTTCTTTAGCACAATTGAACTTCAGTTTGGGAGTTTTGAGCAACAAGCAGAGAGTTAAGTGGTTGTCTGACGCTCTAAAACACAACACAAATTTGTCATCCTTACTGTAAGTCGAACTCCAACATTTATGGTTCATGTCAAATACGTAGGTCAATATACTTGAGGACATATTTGTTTCTACTAGCTCGACTCTTGACTATTCCCAAAGATGTTTGATATCCTTTAAAAAAAGGTCTTGTAATCTCACTATTAAATCTGCCCCAATGTCCCTAATGCACTTTAGTATTGTGTATTGTCTAACACAGTCATCTTTTACTTTTGTATCAATGCCAAAGATCATAGCTACATAGCAGCTCCCATAAAAAGATATCTGCCAGTATATCAATTTGTATTTGCCAATCACATTAAAATGCTGTGTATAGTTTTAACTTACTCATCATCAATATTAATGTAGCTAAGTCTTTGGGCTGTATAGTCTAGCTTATTATATTTCGCGTACTAGTGCATAATTACTCATCATTGTCTATTTTCAGCCTTCATGGCAATAGCCTGAGTGATGATGGCATCAAATACTTGGTCAAAGCATTGCAAGTTCACCCTAAGATATCTTCTCTGGATGTTGGTGATTGCAACCTAACAGATGATGGCCTACAACAAGTATGCATGTTGCTGCCTCCAGAGGAAGGGAAAACATGCTTACACACTTTAACATTAACCGGTAACAAGAACATTACCCAAATGGGCTGGTCTTACCTGGCGATTGCAATTGCAGCAAGTTCACAATTACGGAACCTTTACCTCGACTATAACAAAATTGGGAATTATGGGACAGGGGTGTTGGCTGTTGCCATGGCAGCAAGCGAAACTTTAGAGAAGGTGGACTTGGAAGGGTGTGGGATCTCCGAGTCTGGGGCAGAACTATTGTTCGATGTTGTTGCAAATTATCCTACATCGTTGAAAGAAATCAATTTGGCTGATAACAATGTTAGCGAGGAGCTGCAGGAGCAAATAAGGTTGTGTTTGACTGATGAAGAAATTAAGGATGAAAATGATGAGAATCACACGTCAACATAACCTTTTTTGGAAGTCTTGATTCTTTGGCATTTCATTACCTTTATACATATTCATTAGAAAGCCTGAATAAACTGCAGAGAATGTCAAAAATACCTCACTCCTTTCTTTCAACACCAACCTTCTTCAATTCTATATTTTTTCTAAACTTAGAACTGAAAATTTATTAGCCAATCATTTCTGTAAATTAAAAAATATGAAGTAGTAATTTTGCTTATTTTATATATTAGTGCTGGTTGCTCAACCTATTTATACTTGGTCTGCTACCCAGAGCAAATGAGCAATCCCACCTCCAGCAATATTTTTTAAAAACCTGATGAATGGTTGCTTAATCAACTCCCATACAATTTAGCTGACATGAAGGAATCTAGTTTCATGCAATATGGTTTGTCTTGAAAACTAAAATATTTTAATTTTTCATAAATTTTGGCTATTGGCTTTAAATAAATATTTAAGAGCTTTATCATTTTAAAAATTTAATTTTCGTGGAGTCATGAATTGTTTGACAATTTCAGGTGTGACAGTTTTTCTTCTCTCTTGATGTGCTGCCACCATAGGCTGTAAAACTGAAATTAATTCTTTCTTAATCTCACCACTTAACATCTTCCCACTGCTGTAATCCTGAACAAAAACAAAAAAAAACAACATCAGTTATAAGCTCAAAATTGATGCAATCCAGGTGTCACATTTTGGAAGCCATTACTAGATGTTTATCCCAGGTTTCGCCACTTATCACCAGTTTCGTGTTTTTCGTGTTCGAAATTTTCAAACTTGCGGGCCCCGCATTGTTATGAATGAACAGAGCTTATGTGCAAACCTGACTGGATATTACCTTCAATCTTTGCTTCCTGTAAACCGAAAGGAAAGGAGCAAATGTAGATGAGTCATGCACCTCTACTATCGACTATATTTACCCCTTTTATTTGCTGTAGTTTCTCGTCATCCTCCAAGAAAAAAGTCAAATATTGATAGGCAATATCTACTTCAATATCTCCACCAAGTTTCCGATGTTCTTCAATACTATCTTTCCCGCCAGAAAATGCATATTTATTGACCTGCACAACAGAAAAAATATTTCATCCTTTCTGCTTTATAATTGTGTTTTTTGATTAGATTCATGCGCCATTTGAGGACATTTGCATGAACTAAAGCGGAATTACCAAACATTTCCCACCTTTTTCTTAATCTGTGCTGGAGTATCCGTTAAAAAAATAGACGAATTTGGATCGCTTGCACTCATTTTCGTCTTTGCTCCTTGCAAGGCTGGAAAGAACGTGGAATGAAGAAGAGAGGGTTTGGGGTATCCCAGTCTTGGGGCAACATCTCTTGTCATACGAAAATATGGATCCTGTGAAAGTTAAAGTTTGCATTGTCATAAAAGAGGAATTAATTTGGTCAATTAATTGTTGGTTAAGCCATTATTAACTGGGTTTACTTTATTTCGCTAGGCTTTAATTTTTTAGGTTTATTCAATATATATATATATGTTTGTGTGCATTTTCGTATATATTAATAAAAAGAAAATGCTACAGGGTTGATTATATTACAGCAACATCACCTTAGGATTCTTAAATTTTTGTATTCCTTACCTGGTCAATGGCGCAAGGAATTAGACAGGGAATATCATGCTTCTCACCAAATATATGTGGAAATGAATTGCTAAATGATGGCGCTGCCTGAACTGCAGGAAATGATATTTTACCTAAAGACAAATTGTACAATTTTACCAATTTAACACCCTAATAAATTGTGATTTGGGTTGTTTTTTTTCATCTGTTAAAACCACCACAACAGACACTCGCAATTGTTAGGGAAAATATTCTTGGAACCAACTGAGAAGGGATCATTTAGCACAAATGGATTAAAAAGATAATCTCTTACCTAAATGGATTAAGAAGATAATCTCTTACCTATGGGGTCACTGTCTGTGAAACCAAAGATTGACCGGACTTGGTTGAAAGTGACACTTTTTTGAATTTTCACAATATTCATATAAAATTCCTTACAACCACTGCAATAATAAAAAAAGCATTCTAATGGAAACTTTTTCTAGCTATTGACTGTATAATCTTTCAAAGGTATGCATGATAGAAATTTTAAAAAAATAAGTTGAGAAGGAGCATTCACAGCTTTGGTAATAGGAACACTTGTTGACAGTTTTTCTTGTCAACATATAAATTAAATTTTACAGACAAATGCTGTAGATTGATTGATCCTTGAATAAAGTATCATTAAATTAAGTATCATTAATAAAGTACATAAAAAATTTAATCATACCCAACATAATCCACATCAGAAAATATAAATGTCTTGTTTACATCAAAACCACAGGCTATAATGTCCTTCGCATTTTCATACGCCAGCCTATGAGCTTCCTCCAGTTTTAAATTCTTCCACAAAAACTTCTCATCGTCCGTTAATTGAATGACCAAAGGAACATCAAATGCATCTTGCAAGTATCTAAAAAAGTTTGGGAAAATGAAGTACATAGGTATTGTACATTACAAAATGTGCTGACAGCACATCATGATTCATGAAAATAGACTGGTAAACACTTACTTGGTAAAAATAAAAGGAATTAAATGTCCCAAATGCATAGCCTCTGACGAGGGCCCTCTTCCAGTATACAAATAGAATCTCTTCTTTGATTCAAATGCATCCAAAACCACTTTCAGGTCTCTAAAAAAAAACAAAATATGTATTACAATGTACTTGTTACAACTACATTGAATTTAGGAAAGGCAATGTTGTGCCAAACTTTTATACCTTTGAGAGAAAAATATTCCACGTTTTAAAAAGTGGTGCACAGGCTTTCCACTGAGTTTTAAGATGCGTTCAATATGACTTTCATCAACTTTCTGGCTCCCAAATTGTTCTAAAATATATCAAATTCAACTCATAGTTGCCTGTTTAAAACATTCAGCATTGAAAGGTCTCCTCTTTGCCTGCCCGCACCCCCTACCCATTATATGTAAGTCTCGATGGAATGCAATAACAGATGATTAAACACATCTTGTATTAAATAGTTATGGAATATCTCACTGTGAAAAATGATAGCATACTCTCACACCCCCCCCCCTCATTTCTCCAACAACACTGGATGACATGTGTACACCCCACCATGGCCACCTTAATCCTTATATATCCCAGCTTTTCATATATGATATATTTTGAATACTGTATTACGTTATACCAACAATATAGCATGTATCATTGAAATGATAAAGGGATAAAGCCATATCCTGCTTTAGGACTTACTTATAAGTTTATTATAGTCGATGCCTTTATTATCTGCGGCGACTACCGTCTCAATGTTCACAATTTGATCTTCCGTTTCATCCTTTTGATCTTTCGACTCGTCATTTGTTGCCATTTTAAAACTGGTACAATTGCTTCGCACGATGAAGCGATATCTCTGTTTGAAATATGGAAATCTTCCTTGTAATTTAGAAAGCAATTTTAGGCGCACATGCATTGAAGATATGCCAAATAAACAAAATTCCTTCTAAAAATGATTCATGTTGAATTGTTTGAGCCCGTTATTCAAAATAAAGATTTTCCTTTACTTGGTGTAACAATTGTCCATAAATGATTACTGTTTGCGCATGATCAATAGTATCGTCGATTTTTGCAAATTTCTAGTTGGCGCTAAAATAAACTACCTTGATTGGCTATTCTTTTCAACCAATCTTATTTAGGAACATTCTCGAAAATCCTGAACCCGTTAGATAAACTGGACTATGCATTGATAAGAGCGGTTACAAAAAATGGTGGGTCGTGATGATGTGATTCAATCTTATACTTCCAAGCATAAAATACTTGGGGATGTAACACCACACTCCCCCACCCCTCCTCTACAAGTATCGACATATCTGGTCGAATGATTATGCGAAAATGTAAGTAATTAAAACAGAAATGTAGACATCTCACACCCCCACGTTTCGAGAAACCTTAGATAATTCCCAGCTGGTGTCCACAATCTAAAGCCGGTAAGGAATCAATATTACTTGACTAAGCTAAGCATTTCTTTCAAACGTTCTTCTTGGTCTCTCTCTCTCTTTCTCTTTCTCTTTCTCTTTCTCTTTCTCTTTCTAATGCATCCCACTATAAGAATTATAAAGGCCATTTATACGGGAAAAAATAAATCGCGAATTATGGCCAAAGGCATTGTGTAAAAAAAGCGATTGAGTGCCGTCAGTATGACAGAAGAAATACCCTGGTTACGAGGTTGTTTTTGACTAGTGCCCCTCTACGAAGTCAATATTACACGACGCGTGGGTCTTTATATTACTTTACCCTGCGGCCTGCGATGAAGTTTTCTTCATATTTCTGTTCGCGGTTAAACCTTCAGCAAGCGCCATATAATATAAAACTTCTGCAGGGGGCGTAGAGATCTTTTGATTCAATTTTGATAAGCTTAAGTGCCTAAATCTGAGCGTTGAATGATCAACTGTCTATCGTTCCAGATAGGTCAAGTGTTGTAAACTCATTACAGCAACTGATGTATGATTGGAATGATGTGCGCCAGCCATGACTTACATTTCTCCAGCCTGGACCTGATTTCAAAACACAATGGACAGTTTATTTTTTAAAAAAAGTCCACAAGTCAGCTTGAACACCGTTCTAAGAGTTACAAACGTATCAATAACACGGACATGTTGCCGATAATTAGGACTAAAAAGAAGCTAAGCTTATAGAAATCAAGATGCGCGTATTCTAGAATCTAGAGCGATAAAACAGGTTCACAATAGCATATGCTAAGGATATATAAATTAACCTGGATTCCAAGTGCTCAGCAAGAAACATTTTCTTCGCATAAAACACGCTAGTATTGGTTGAGAACACACAGACAGAAGAAAGTAATTTTCCTGATAGCAGGTGTTCTGCCAAGTGCCAATCTGCCTTCCAGACCATATACGCTATTCCAGGCATCTATTTCAATCTCTGGCTATCAGACACTTGGCAGGCTGCCGGTGAGAGCTTGAAAATGACATGTTTACTATCTTCCTGACATTATGATGAATTTTGATGGACGTCATAAATTTGTCATCCCTGCTACTACCATCTCACTGCTCGCGTGCATGCAATAGCAGGTGCACGGTTAGTTAAAGTTAAACAGCTTAAAATTGGTTATGTTAACAAAAGCCTTTTAAATAAATCCATTAGTAGATTGAAGTGCTTAATATTCTTTATAGCCTTCAGAATCAAAAGCATCGCTGTTCAGGGACTTCGCAATTAAAAAATACTACAGTTATTACTGTTATTTATTTTACTCTAGAAAGTTCTTGGCTTGTTTTTATTGAAAGCGTATATGGAAGGAATTTTGCGAAATAATTTATAATTTATAAATATTCTATAATCTACACCTTTTCCCCTCAAGCCGCTACCACCCCCTCTCATTTAACCTTATTCCCCCTCTATCCTTACAAACGGACCCTGTACACCGTTGTACTATGAACGATGTAGGCACTGTCATTCAAACGAGCCATTGAAAATCGCGATATGGTTGGTATTCCAATGTAGCCTATAGCCACTTTAATTAGCAAACATGCTTCTGTCAGCACAAAAATATCCAAACAATGGAAAGCAATTTAATGACACTGTGGAATTTGAAAGTCGATTACATTACAGCCCCCAACTGTTCGTCGCAGTGTTTAAAAAGGATACTTTCAATGTGACCTTTGTGGTCAAATTATCAGATTTGACAAGTTGAATTAATTACTATAAAACAGGACAACTGCGCTTGCTTGTACGAGCCAGTTAATCTATAAGTGTTATAGTTGAATAATGATATCTAAAAATAGGTGTATATTTAAATACATTTTCGTGAGAACTTGTGCCGCATTAATCTGTATTTGACTTTAATGGTGTTTGATGTAACATGACTAACATCAATTCACAATAAAGTCGGTTTTCTTTGATAAATTGTGAGCTGTGTGCTGCTATAAATAGCATTATGTAGGATTTGAAGAGAAAACTCGAAGATTTATTGCCACAAATCAATCAAACAGTAAAATATTGAATGGAAACCTCTTTATTTTGCATGTTAACCGAGTTTTAACTTCATGGTTTCCTCTTAGCAAGTGGTCACAAGTTATGAAAACGTTTCAGCTTGCTTGCAGGAGCAGAGCTAAATAAACAAAGGAATTAACATTCCATTCTGACAGGCAAAGACGTAGATATTGAATTTTCTCTTGTTTTTTTACTCAATGAATGTATGAGGAAGTCTATATGTTTTTTTTTGTCGTACCGTTGTTCCATGAAGTCTCCGCGATATTGGGTATGACAAAAGCCAGTGCTGTCCTTTACCGCGACAGCTTATGATGATACGATATATACTTAGTTGCATGTTTAACAAAAATCCAACGATCTGTATGGCAAACGATTGGCTTAGCTTTTTGCTCCTGTTAAAGAACTGACTTAGGAAATTCAAAATTGAGGATCGAGGCTAAAATATCATGCAAAGCAGGACCTGACGAAAGGGAGATTTTCGCTGAATATTACTTCTGTTTGGATATTCCAGACTGTTCGCAACTGACTTTCCATAACATCTCAGCATTTGAACTTCGTCAAATCCTTTTTGTTGGTGATCAGTTTTGGGCTACTGTCTCTTTGAATTGTGTATCAACATGTTTTAAACGATATATTTGTGTAGGTAAAGTTGTAGGAGTAATATTAATAATATTAATAAATATGAAATGACGGTTTTTTGTGAGAAAAAATCTCAAACATTTTTCCCACATTGCCAAAATTTTTCACGTTTCTTTCACTGACGCCAATAGGGAAGGTAATGCCCCAATACCTGGAGTATTACAAGTATTACAAGACATAACTGAGTGGCTTTTTCACAGCAATCACTTACGGGACAGACAATAGCAAGAGCTAAAATATGATATAGCTTTAATAGCCCCTATATTCTCTAGTCTGGCCGTAAAATATCACATATTTCAGGGCATATTAGGCCGCAATCACTTAAACATTATGTGTTTTATTAAATTCACAAATTCAATTTAAGCTTTACGACTGACATGAGCCAGCATGCATGTGGCCAGCAAGGTCTGCAGTTCATTTTCATTGGGGTAAAATTTTGCTAGTCGTTTGTGAATTGTGATAGTCATGCATCCAGGCGAAGCCACGACTTGGGGCTTGGGGCTTGGAATAGCAATAACACATACGTTTTTTATATCAAAATGAAAAATGTAAACAAATCGCGTGAAAATAGAAAGCTAGACTATAATATCAAAATGCATGTTATTTTCTCTGTAAACATGCAGCAGACCGAACAATTAAAAAGCAAAGAAAACCTTCGGTCAGTTCGGTGTCAATATTTAGTAAACTTTGGTGTCAATATTTAGTGAAATTTTAATGAACAACAAACAACATCAGGTAGACTTTGAATGATATGAAGCAACGATTCACTTCTTAAAATTTTTGGTTGGCAATGAGGTTTCACCCAGACAGGTTACCATGCACACAGGTTCACCTAACACATATGCATTCGCGAAAATTAATTGCTGTCTCCGTTTAGCCTGGATGGCCAGGTTAAACCAGCTTGCCTGTGCATGTAATCAGACCCTTAAACCCACCAGATTAGACATAAAGCACTTCTTTTGTCTGGAAATTCCTTTGTCTGTCGATCAATAATGAAGGCGGTTGAACAAGAACACGTTTCTTGTCCGTACTTGTTCTGAGAATATAATTCTCTGAGATTTGAAAGGAAACCAGACTTGAAATATGTAATATGTCTGTTAGCACGACCCCCATTTTGTCTGATCCATTCACTTGTAATAGATTTGTTGTGGTTATTTGACTTATGATGTATGAGCTGCAAATCAACCATACGGCAAATTGAGTATTGCTCTTATGAACACACCTGTAGCCTGTATTCCTTATAGGCTTACACGTGGGAAAAACGTTCGAATAGATAGGATTTGCTGGCCACTATGGAGAAGGAAACGGAACTTTCCCAAAACACTGATCTCTTAGGCTCTTACTCGCTACAACATGCTGTGAATGCTGTCTGGATTCCTGCAGAGTAACAATTAAATCAATAATTCATCTCGGCTGATGTCATGTGAAAACAGTGCAAGTTCTATTGCATACTCAATGATACACTGACGGCTAATGGTTTTCATCGAACTAAGAGCCCGATTTCACTAGAGACGGATTTTCCATCCATGCAGACTTAACCCAAAAAAGAAAAGTTGGACTCAGTGTGAAAGAGTTATTGGGTTTTCTTTGGTTTCTAACGCAGTCACTGATGAATTTTGAAGACTTTAATTGAAGGAAATAAATGGTCATTGCTTTCCCCTAGTTAGAGCATCCAAACAGATGACACAATCTCTAGTATGATTAGGACAAATATATTATATATATACCTGAACGGTATATGCATGCAGGTGTCTGTTGTATGAAGATAAAAGGTTATTTGGTTCAAAGCCAGATCAGGTGGTTCGAAAAATTCCCGGTCAATCGAGGTCAAGAACTTGACGGTTCCTGTTGAGCCGGTGCATGAACCGCTGGTACAACGTATTCCGCCGGATTATATATCATTTTTTTCTATCATAGATTATTTTTTTTGGGAGTTTTGAAGCGAGATGTAGACATGAGATTAAAAATGGTTTGTGAGACTGTGAAGAAACGTTTTGAATATAGCCTTTTTTTCCCCATACTGATTTCGTCCATCCCTAAACCAAATTTACGATAAATATGAGTTCGGTTATTTAGCTGGGAAAAAAAGTAGAAATTGCTGATAAAATAATCCATAAATAACATGCCTTGAAAAATTCACACACTCGGGAAATGATTGTTGAATTCTTATTTCCTTCTGAGCACTCTGCTTCAGAATCGAGAGAAGGCAAAGGTTTGATTTCCGCAGGAGGCTTGTGTATTGTGACGATGCCGTCTCATACGGCGTGCATAGCAATTATCTCTCCACTTTTTAATCTTAAAGAGGATTTACTTAAAGCGTATATGGAGAAAGAACACAACTCATTAAAGACTTCAAGTTCAATAACTTATCTGATTAAGGTTGATAAGTTATATTTTAAATATTGAACCGAAAATTTACTCTTTATAGAATACGTGGTCGATCGAAATATTTGACGATGCATGTGATTATACATTTTGAACATTTTCGATTTATTAACATCCGTTTAACGTGTTAATTTTTCAGGAATTAAACCCTGATCTGTGTGTGGCGAAAAAAAACGCAAAGCTTTTTGTCTCAGTTTTGGCAAGAATTTCTCGTGTTCTTTCTTGTGTGCCTGTACAGTCTATATAGATGTCGAGTTTTGCGCAGCAATTAGACCGTTCATTGCGTTCAAAGACACGAATCGATTGGTTGTAGAAACTAGAAAGTAAATATCATGTTAAAACGCGGGCAATATCGATATCGCGGTCTCTTTATTGCTCCAGCACGAATTGAAATTTGCGATGCAAATCGCACGAAATTCGTTAATATGAGATTGTATATATGCAAGGTTCCATATCCTAATCTTTGACTGCATACCAAATGTCCAAAGGAAACGAAGCTAGTTGCATTGAGCAGACTACATATGCAGGGATATATGAGGCGTTTTACTGCAAATATATTTGCCTTCATTTTTCTGCATCACCACAATTGTTTTGCCCGTTGCCAAAGGCATTGGTGAGCGCAGACGGGGTAAATATTGAGCTCGCTAGAGACTCGTGACGCTCGACAATGATATATATGCATAGTTTGTTAAATTAAACAGTTTATTGGTGCGATATATAATAAATGCGCCATTATTGTCACGCAAAGTAAAATCCCCAAATTAAAACGGAAATGAAGTGAAATTATATCAATATTATTGTTATGAGCTCTGCTATTATCGTTTGCAACTTTCAGGGTACAAAGATCTTTGAGGGCATGAAAAGCAAAATGCGAGAAAAACTCTAACAATTTACATTACAGACGATGTAGAAAGCAATATTTGCATTTAAGGATCCAAATGGTTTGTTGATATAATTACAAAATATACCGTGTCTTATATAATCCGAAGGTCACACTACAATGACCATGGCCAGTTCATTTCAAACCTAAACAAATATCGACCACACATCGCAGCAGGGATTTCGCTGCCTGGCGGCCGAAACACATTACGAGTGCAAAATGCGGAAACACGGACGTTGATCGCAATATAATAAACGCCAATGATCTATAATACCTCTGGCAATCATTGTATACCCGCATATAAACTATACACATTTTATCGACTCAGATCATGTTTGAAAAAAAATTTTTACAAAGAGAGGTTTGCAATCTACAACTACTTGATTATAATATGGTTATAGCTACTACAACAGGCCACGACAGATCAAAGCTTGTTCCCCTGTATTAAAACACGCATTGAAATGCGACAAATCGTATCTTCAAATCACCCAAACTTTAAACTCAGTACTGCTATAAGTATTAGGACCAATTATTATATGGAATCAATCGGTATTCCCGCAATTTAGGTTTAACTCAACGCACAAACACACACTGGCATAAATATTTTTGTACACAAAGCGAAATTCAACACGCTTTTAAACAAGCAAATTCTTTCTTCATTTTTGAGGGTTGCCAGAGGTCACTGGATTGTTGATTAACACAACACAGCACACTGTTTGAATTACATGGGGGATACCAGCTCCGATTTAAAATTATTTAAACGTACAAATGTACATCTTGTTATATATAAAATGTACATTTGCACTTGAAATCAGGCACAATCCAGCGATTCCACGGCACGAATCCTCTCTAGAGGTTTCGAAAAACTTGCTAAAATATCTCGACTACACCGGCTATATATATATATTCAAATACCCCGCACCACAGTCCAAGATGGGTATATGGAATAATCTACAAATAATATGGCAAGCCATATTTGAAGTATGCAGCTCTTTAATATGCACTACACACAACAGTCAAATATATGTTTTAAAGTCACAATCCAATTTTTAAAAAAAATACTTTTACGACACGTCCAATGGGTTCTACTAAAGTCCTCGCGAAATCCCTCCTTGGAGTTTGCCTAAGCCTCAATTGGCAAGTCCAAATGGGAAATTCCTGATTTTGCAAGATAGCTTTTCAAGCGGTGTAACTCCTCAGTAAGGCTAGCGACCACCGAGTGAAGATCCTCGTTTTCTTCTGTCAGCTCGCTCGCTTTACGAAAGATGGCCACTTGCTTCTCTTTTGTTTTCATTCGACTCTTCCTCACAGCCACGTTGTTACGTTCGCGTTTCAAGCGATATTCGTAGGTGCCTTTATCGGCGCCGGCCTGGTTCGACTTGTTTGATGAGCTTTTACGGCCGCGTTGACGTCGGCTCTTGAGCTTTCGTGCATCTGAAGGCAGCTCAGGTGATGGCGAGCGCTCCGAGCAAGACGACTGCCAGTCCGCATCGCCGAACAGCGGTACAGTCTGGCTTCCGAAAGCTTCAGCATCGTTGAATTCGGCCATAAAGCCGCCGCTTTCGTCCAGAAATTGTTCGAACTCGTTGTCGAACGTGCTGTAGCCGGGCTGTTGCGTTGTCTTGTAGTCTTGCTTCGGTGGCGCGGCGCTCGAAACGAGGTCGAAAATATCAGCTTGTTGGCTTGTGTCAAGGTCGATATCTTCTAAGTAAGGCGACAAATCCAAGGACGGCTCGCTTACGTACGGATCGTAGAAACTAAGCCCAAATTCTGCATCGAGTGCAGCGACCTGTGCTAGGTTTTCCCGACCCATATTGGTGGTTGTATGGCTCCATCCCTGCGTATGCCTGCTTGCATGAACTGCATTTTGGCACGGTGGATAAAAGGAGTCGATGGGCTCCTTTTTGATATCAACTGCGCTGGCTGAATAGCAGGCATAGTGGAATTGATCGGTATCTCGTAGAGGCGGTATTTTGGAGGCTGTTGTTGAACCCGTTTAAGAAAATAGTTAAGTTGACTCGTCCGTCACGATGAAGTATGCGTAAAAGAGAACATGGCTGGCTAGCAGACGAGGTTTTGTTTCGCCTTATGACGAAGCACTCATCTCATTGGTCAACGGGTCACGCGATCAGATGCGTGACGTCATTTACCCCAGTGGGCGGTTACGTGGCGCGGTATAATACAAATGTATATAAAAATGCGTACTTGTATAGATATATCTATATTGCTTTCCTTTTTCGAAACGGAATTGCGTCTCGAATTTGCATATATTTGCCTGAGATTATTCGAGCACTCTCTTTATCAATGCCCGAGTGCTGGAATGACAAACCACTCGAATACAAAGGACTCGTGAATGCAGATTATGCGCGGTGTTTGCTTGCAAAGGAAATGTCTTCTTAGGTCACCGTACTTCCGGTTATAAGACTCTCGACAAGGCGACGGGGCTCACAGCCACTTGCATTGTTTCACTTCTCAAGAGTTAGATGACAAGTGCACACGATTTTAGAGAATGAATTCGTCAGGGAATGCACGTATATTCGGTAATCACGCTAGAAGGTATATATATGCGTTCAGAAGGCAACCGCTGAGGTACCTTTGGCGGGCGTATAATGGCGTTCGACCCTGGGTAAACACAACTTTTGGGAACGGGAATAATATTAGGTCAGATTAGTTTAGGTTTTTTTAATTAATGAAGCTGTGTTGCTTTATAAGGTGGTGGCATGTGAGAATGTTTCAATTGTGTTACCAGTGTTGCGCACATATTTGTCGTTTCTAGAGAATGTTTTGAATGAAAAATATCGAAAGCCAAAGAGTGAAACATTTGTGATTTATGAATAACCCCGTACTCTTTCTCTTCCTAACATTGCTCTGTGTCTGAAGTTGCAGCTAAATCAGCCCCGCCTTCATGAATTTAGTGTGTAAATTAAGCTGCTTATATGGTCAAGATCCATGGTAACGATAAACGAAGCTAGAATGAGAACGGACTGAAAATATTTCTTCCCAACTGCAAGTATATTCCTGCAAAAACATGCATGAGTTCTGTCAGACTCATGAATAACAATCAACGAGCTTGTAATATAGATAATTATCATATTACTTATGTACAATTTTGGGAACACCGTCGCGAACAACGTCCGTAGGTTTGTACGGCAAAAACAGGATCAGTTTAGAAGTTTCAAACACGGTTGCAAGTCTTAACCACAGCACATGGCTCCAAAGTTATTTTCCCCGAAGCATGCATATACTCAGTAAGGCACTCAGGGGTCTCATTGAAGCACATGACAACCTTTGCTCCCGCAGTCCTACCTGTCTAAACGCCTCTCAAAACTTGAGACTTGTTGCAGTTGTGATATTTACTTGTAACGATATAAATTGGCTCTTGTTGCCATGTTTATAGATAAGTGGCTGCTTTACCTATATTTCCTTCGTGTATTTTTTGTTTGTCTTTACATGAGGGGCGGGTTTACTAACTGCCCGGTAGATGAACTCCTACATGCATGCATGGGAAGTGATGTGCATGTGTCAGTTCCCATGGCCTCACAATTAATCACACCCTCCCATAAGTCTCATTCTCACGTGAGTAAACAGTTCCTCAAATATTTTTATGGCACAAATGTTTATATATAGAGTTGAGCAGGTTTTTTGCCTTGATTGGAAATTGTATACATATATATTTTGTACGAGCAAACTTCGTCTGGAAACATCTTCTACTAAAAATTCTCTTAACTGAAAGATGCCCCTGAATTTCGAGATATAGGCCGTGTGGTCTTAGAAGAGGCCTTATAAGTATAATAACAAATTTGCACTTGAATATGTCACCGTCGAAAGAAAAGGTTTACAGAGTCCAGTATTGCCTTCGAAAATTTGGCTCAATGAATTCTATCCTTAGATCATCTTTAGGGTGTAACCCGCACCGAGGCCAAGATTAAAGAAATGACGTACCGTTTATTAATTCGCGCCGGGACTAACTTGTTCTCAGTGCTCATAAAATTGATCTTTTTTATGATGGTTTCTCGTATAGGGCTTCTCATCCAAAACGTCAGTTGGTGGTAATATTGATCATTTATATCAAGAACAAAGAATCTTTCCGGCCAAAGAACTGAAGACGTTTTTTTTATATTTCACAATTCTTCGCTTTCTTTCGTGAACAATAAGCCGTAATTTTGTTGTAATTCGGTTTCGACTGGTTGAAATTCGTTTTTCGTTCGTTGAGATCCGATTTTATGCGTTGCAATTTGGCTTCCCTTTGTTGCGACTCGATTTCCCTTCGTTGCAATTCGTTTTTGATTCAATCTCATTCGGTTTAATTTCAATGCAACAAATTGCCCCTAACGGCAAATTATACAACTGACGAATTACACAATATACAACATACCGAATTACGAAATAAATTGTCTTTTATTTAAAACGGTTTGTATTTCACAGTAAGCACTCGCAATAATTCGACAAATGGTTGTCACTAGAAGATAGCTACACATCCACTGACAAACATAATATATACTCAGCCATTCGTATGTCGAAAAGAATATATAGGCTCTGAGTCACTACAAGCTCTCCTACCGTGGTTCTGCTGCCGGCGAAGAAAAATTTCGCATTTTCTCTTGCTGTGGAATTGGATTTTGTTAAGATTGTTCAATAAAATGTCCGAACCAAATTTCTCATTGCTAGCAACGGCAGCGGTGCTTCAGAATTCGTTACTCGGCAATGACAAAATCTCAGCAGAAGAGTTTTGCCGTTGGGGAAATCTTTCGTCAAGAGCAGGCGCAAAGTTGAAGTGGAAATTGGGCTTTATAGTCAAATTCCGGTCATCCCATAAATTGTTTGTATATTGTGGATGTATACTGACGAATGCAAATATATATACATATGACGATAAATTCGAACCATTTTGGTATTTCAATCATGCATAACCCGAACATGACGATCCTAACGTCCATTTCATCGTTTTCTTCTCGGGATCTCGTGCCCCAGAATATTAACTGCAATGAAGCCTTAGAATAACCCAAAGACGCCTACAATCAATCGTATATACTTCTTGAATTAGACGGATATTCTATGATTTTTATGTACCTATACCTTGGCATGCCAACTACTTGGAAACCAGACTGTGGTTGACAGGGGAAACATGCTTATCATATATTTAAATATTCAATCTTGTAGTTCATTTTGAAGTAGATTGATTAGCTGATAATTATACCAAACACCTTCACGCTATCCCTTTGATTTCTTTGTTTTATTTTGTTTTTGTGATGGCACTTTTGGAGATTGGGCCTCATTAATGAATCCACTAATATCTGTGGTTAACACATGCAGTAACGATATATTCAGGGAGAAAGCGTTCGGTTACCATGCACTGGTCGGGCAAACGGCCAATGGACGATCACGAATGGCCGCTCGATTACAATATCAGCGTTACATGTGCACGACAAGTGGGTACAAAGGGTGTGAAATGAACTTACTCGCTTTACCAAGATGATGGCCACATTACGTGGCTCATCCTATAGCTTCTTTTACACTATATTTTGTGATACTTCACGTTTGAAATTGGAACCCGTACCAAATTTCGTACAATACAAATCAGCCAGGCACGGATGAAATCAGTATGCGTACCCGCGTAGAAAGTAAATCAAAGCACCGTTTACACTACAGTCTGTTTATCGGCACAGCACAGCTAAAATTGGTACCCGTACCCGCACCCAAGGCCAAGCACAGATAAAATGGATACGGGTACCCATTTTACCATGCGTGCCATTAAATTGAGTGTAGTGTAAACGGAGCTCAAACGATCTATACCAATCGAAAATTGGTCAATACCGTATAAGGTCCTTTAAGTCTTGATCGCCCTTGTGGGCGGTGATTTCTGGTTCCTGCCCAGCGAATAGCCTACTCTGGAATAATGTAGCCTGCGCAATGAGGTGTTTAGTTTGTCTCAGTGTCTTAATAATCATGCCTTATATGTACTAAAAGGTGGTTATTTCCCACCAATTCAGGCATAACGTTTGCTATTTGAAAATATCTTCAAAAATGGGTTCAAGGGAAATTGCTTCCGGAAAGCGACACTATGTTATATAGCATGGCCGAATTTGAATCCCGCTTTGAGCCGCGAGGAGAGTATTCAGTTGCATGCGTCGAGGAAACCAGTGCGTGATGGTTGCTGATCAAGTCACAAAAGTACTCGCAGCGATATCGGAATTGAATATCGCCGGAATTTCAATGTCAAGTATGAAATTTCCCGGAAGAGGAAAAGGTGCGACTGAGCATAATGGTTCATATCACTCCCGTAGAGTTTCGGTACTACAATATCACGGCAAGCGGAGAGTTGCGCAATGTCCCTAATTACAGAATGTCCGCATGCGATTTTAAGGTGACTGAGGTAGAGTATAATGGAAGAACATAGCAGAGAAACTGCATTTCCAATGCTAGAAGATGTAAATAACGATATACTTGCAGAGTTCTTGAAACTCTAAATTACCAGTAATCTGTCCGGTTGCCGAAATACAACAGCCTGACCGTTTTTACCGCGTATAAAGGAAGCACTCTACAACTCATATTTGCGATTTTGAACTCGTCAGGAAAAACTGGCCTGGGGCAGATGCTATACGAAGCGAGGTAACTAACTGTCAACTATCGTTTGTGCTGAGTTGAATTTTCAATCAGAATTGTGTAGTTAGGAGTTTCTTTACAAAATGCGGCTGCATGGTTGTAGAAATTGAGATAGTTCACGCTTTTCCTATAAATGGTGTATAATGAAAACGCTACACTAAGCTAGTATTCATGAATATTCTTTTTCTATTCAATCAGAAAAGATCGAGCACTCAAGTCTCAATGAATGTTTCAGGGCTTGGTTTTTAATACACCCTATAGCTACCGGAAAGCTGTCTGCTTTTCACCTGCCGAGAAACAGTTTGCTAGTGAAATATTTGCATCTTTTCTTTTGAATTTTGGCAGGAAAAAGATATTAGTTCAGCTTGACTATTTTCAGTTTTGATGCAAATATTTCGCTAGCGAACTGTTTCTGTGCAGGTGGAAATCCACCCTTGGTGACAGGATGGGCGAATCAGAGTCGCTTATTTTGGAGTTAATTACATTTTAACTACCCAAATCGGACTTGAAAGTTTAATACCAGGGGTTGGTTGTTCGAAAGGCGTTTAGCTTAAACGGTGGATAAGTTGAAAATGGAAAACAAAATTATCTATTTATTGAACAACCGAGCTGAAATATTTCGATGTAAAAAGTTAAATTTTCAATGGCCAGTACAAATTAAACGCATACGATGCAAATTCAGTCATTTACAAGATGTATGAGAGTATTTTAAAATTTAGCTTATCCACCGTTTAAGCTAAAAGCCTTTCGAACAACCGGCCCCAGAGTTATACGTAGCCTCATATCACTGACGATTGACGAATAACTATATTCCCGAGAAGTCGCGACAGAAAGTCGTAATTCGTTTTAATTTTGGCTTCGGTAAACGAATTACGATACATAAAAGGCATACGATATTATTATTATACTAAAAAAAAGGACATCACCACATGCCGTTTCCCGCTATTGTTTGAAGAACAATAAAAGTGTAATATACGAATGTAAACAAATGCCAGCCACCCCTGTTTCATTCCAATTGATTGACAAATCATCCTGAAAATATCCTTCCGCGAAACGCAGTTTCAAACAAGGAGCTTTCCTCTGCCAAATATCGGACTATCAAACAGTATACTCCGGATTTGGTTTATTAAAAGACAGAGCGACGCCCGCCTGCGAGAAGTTTCCGATAAACGAAGCAGAAGTGAACTTTATAGTTTGCTTAATCGGGCTTTGCTTAATCCTTGCTGTGAACACTATAGGTGACAATGTCAAAGTGTAATATTTTTAGACTTTTAGTGACTTTACTCCGGGAAATCCAAGTCAAAACAAAGAAATAAGTCGTTTCGTTTTGTCTCACATCAATTCACTGAATTCAGTTTCGTTCCGCGTTTACTGTATAGTTCTACCCTCAAAGCCTACCTCCCCCAGTGATTTCATTGTTATCATCTCCTTAATTTGAGATAAAAATATTTCCTATTGCAAAAGATTGTGTACTTTAGCCTCGTTCGGTTAAAAAAACATGGGAAGGTCAACGAACACAATCTCTGTTAATTGACAAGGCGTTGGTGGACGGCAAAAGCCGATCTACTCTTGGAAATAGATATCAAATTATTGCATAGTCATGTCGTTTTCCTCCCACATTCAGGATTGTCCCTGTGTTTGTTTTACTGCATGATCGCCCCCTCCTATTGTGAAAGCTTTCGGGAAACACTGACGTCATAGCTGTAAAGTCCCATAGTTGGCTGTGGCGACTTAATTAGGTTGGTTTGTAATTTGCCTTGCAATATGTAAAGGTTTCGCGCGGCTTACACAAAAGCATAGTTCAAAGAATACGTAGACCTGATACAATCAGTTTGTTATACCGTTGCGCGGTATCAATAAAAACAGACTCAATATTAAACCACAGATTAAACCTTAATCTAAACTATACCGGCATGTTTCTGACAAAGAACTTTCAAATTTGGAGCATATCAAAGATTTGGAATGCGCTGAACGCAAATTTTATGTCTACCGAAGTGCAAATAGATTCTTTTCAACACACAACATTTGAATATCATTGTCTGAGTCATTGAACTATCCTTGAATATCTTCTGTAAAATAAGTAATATGTTTGTTAGTACTAGGGAAATTTACAATAATACCTTCTGTAAATAACCGCCACATTTAATTACTGAGAAGTAATTCTTAGATTATCATCGAGGCTATAGTTTGAATATTTTTATCTGATGTAAATTTTCATTGAAAAACTCGATCGCGAATGTCAATAACGTATAGGTAAATGCAAATGTCAATGTTTACAACGCTATAGCTAATTTTGGAGTCGAATCTATTTTGGTTCGTACGCTATTTCGTTGGTTTATCAGAACTGCCATTCAGTCTGGGTTATAATTATAGACATTATAGACCATTCTAGTTACACGCAGCCCATTCGTGTACTACTTTGACATAGTCTTCAAATCGTTTTTAATTTGACAACCTTAATTGCAAGCAAACTGAAGTGGACAGATCCGTGTCAGACTAATTTTCGTCTGATTACTTATGGCTGGCTACACGATAAGTTGCATGCTCTTGTGTGTTCATGCATTCGCCCGGCCGGGCCAAATCTCACAGTTAGTATTAAACTTAATGTAGTCAATATTCTGCTTGGCCATTATCATCTATCTATCGGTTTAACGCACAAAAGACCAGTTGTAGTAGGAAACATATGATCTAAGGTATAAATGGATGTACGTTGTTTTACCGTTTCAGTTCAAATTCAAAGAGCGAAAAGAATTGACGAAGAATATCAAAGCTGTAACTGGTTGCAGTCGTATCAACAAACACACAGCACTACTGATGAAATGGTTTCCAGAATTTGGACTTCGAAGGCAATGTCAACAAGCCATATACCCTTTTCCACAGGTGCTTGGAATCTGTAATTTCCGCGACCTATCAAGCTTGACTACTTCATGCTCTTCAGTATATAACCATATGATATAACCTAATAACGATGAGCTATCACTTTGACTGCACGTTCCTAAATCTTTGCGACAAAACTAACTCGCCCAGTCAGGCTCAAATTTTCATGTCGGAGCGGTTTGGATGACGAATCTGTTCGGTAACATAAAGGCATTTTGCAATGATAAGCCAATATCTTTTATATATTTTATTAAACTGAAGACGGCACTTCCAATCTGATTCGATAACCCGCATAAAGACGTTAATAATTCAATCAAAAACTGTGTCAGTTCCACGTCTTGGGATAGCGCCGGATTTATGATCAGTTCACAGAATGGCTACAAACTATTAAGCTGCATTCTTACACTGATTTCAGTCATTTTCGGGAATAACTATCATACCAATAAAGGCAATATAATCGGGAGAATCATGTTTTATCATCAAAACATTACGCTTTATGGCACGCAAGAACTTTTATCGCTTTAATGAACCACAAATTTTTTGCATCAACAGCTAATCTATAAGCATCTATATGTACCTTGATATTTGAAGGATGCCGGTGATTACAGTATTCATCAGTAAAATGAAATAGATTGTTAGGAACATATATGGATTACTCCAGATGCTATCTTATTAAAAGGTCAGGTCAGTTGATAGCACAAATAGCTGGGTGAAAAAAAAACAAGGAAAAAAATTATTGCCTTGCGAAACGTGGCAGCCATATTGCGAAATGAATAGAACTACCGCAAGGTAACTGAAAATTTGCATTTAATGTTCCGCGATATATGGGAAAGGTTAAGAGGCAAACTTTACAAGGTCAGACTGATTCTGTGTTTCCTCTTTGCAGCCGTTTGATGGCGGAACTAACGAAGATCAGTAGCGTTGCTAGACCCGATAGAAACGTCATCCCATGCATGGTGACGCCACTGGCGAGTGGCGAAAAAAAGACCCATGGTTCCAATTAGATTTTAATCAAAGCTAGCTGCTTCAATCTGTCACTGTCCAGGGATATATGACGTAGGTTGCTAATGATATCAATAATATATCAGATTTCTGCAGTGTCATGCCTCGGTGTGACCTAATGGCAATTGTAACCACGTGTTAATTCCATTGTCGCGTGAACGTTTTACTGGAAAATGAGCTCACAGTTTAAAGTCCACAAATTGTCGTGATTTCTTAATTTACCTGAAAATCTGTTCATTAGTTTAAAGTAAACAATGTACTGAAAAGTGAAGGCTTCCCTGCGATGCACTTTGACCATATACGCATGCATATAACCAAAACACGATCCACCAGTACATACAGATGATAATTTTCTCACTGCCTTCAGTCCCTTATTGATTGGTTCCCTTGCGGAATTCGCTGAACGCGTTGGCTTAGGGAAGCGTCGGTTTAGGGAAGACGATTACTTCGAAAGCAATTTGACCGTAATATGTCTGATAGGGATCCTTATATTTTTTTTTATTTGGGAAACGATTTAGCAAGATACTTTCAAAGGAATTTGACCTTAATCAGTCTGATAGAAATCCTTATAATTGATTTACTTTTTTTTGAACATCAATGTTCAAAATCGAAGAAAACTAAATTACGCGTTGTAGCTTGTTTGTCGCTAGTAGTGAACTTGCAAATTGAACGTAGCGGACTTACAAGCAATAACATCTTTTAGTAGTTTGGTACAAGCACAGGCAACTTTCGTATGGGCAACATTCCAATGGTATTGTCTCGCTAGTCTGCTACTTAAAGTACGCCTTTTGCCTTGGCTATGTATTTATTCCTGTTAGAACACGTTACTGGCAATGAATAGTTGATGATTTTCAAAAATGGACGCTTGGCGACGAGTGTAAACAAATAGCGTTAAGATGACATATGTCAGTATTGAAAGGTCTGGTTAACAATGAGATTGATGAGTTGAGACCACGTGGGAGGAACGTGACGCGACTATGGTATTACATTTCTGCAGGGTCATCCTCATCCTGATCAGCTGATGTGTTTCCACGTGTTCTGGTAATTATTACGAAATTACTTGTTTTTTTATAACATTCCCATCTGTGTCATCGCAACTTTAGGCAGGCAATGAAAAGTCATTCCGAGAATGCGATAGAGGTGTTGGTAATAGTGAGACGGAGGAAGTTTGGGCGGCGTGGGTTTAGAAAATGGCACTTTCATTTCCCTTATAATACCAGGCGTAGAGGTGAAGTATCACTCATTTGCAAATGTACAGAAGAAGGCATTTCAATAATATTATCATTCAGTTTTAACTTTTAATGCGAGAAGACAACAGATTAAATCAACGACATAGCCTTATACTAACAGTTTAGAAAAAAGGTGAACTATGATATTGGTATGCAGTGGGCTGTCCCGTTTGCGTTTATACCAGGCAAACTAACCAGGGTCAGAATTCATCCTGGTTAACTCAAAAGTCAAACCTATGCCTTTTTCTTGGAAGTTATTATTGTTTCTCAGAACCGCCTAAACCGGGTTATTTACAATTACATGTGTGATTGAATCGATTATTTAGTAATTCAAAAATGATTATATCACGCGTCCCATTCCCCACTGTCGTTGGCCAAAGATGATCCGCTCATGTTGCTGGGAGGAGGGATCATTGAGGATATTTTATCCATTGCGGACCCTCCACCAGTTTCATCCCCTCCTCTATCCCCTCTTGACCCTGATATACCCTTCCTTCTCATTTGTAATTTTGCAAACAGGTCGGTCATGAGATCTCCACCGCCGCTAGCGGGCTGCTCCTTTTCAGCCCGTTTTTTCTGCTTTCGTTCTTTGGCCTTCTTTAGTTTGGCTTTGCCTGCACCACCCGCATTTCTGATCGCCGCCATTAAGTCCGCTCTACCACCACCTCCGTCACCGTTGCTTTCTGGCTGAGCAACTTCAGTTGGGGCTGAAAAAAAACAAAACAAACAATCAATTTGAGAATACTAGCCTGCAAACAGGCTTATCACTTCCCCAACTTATTAACCTGTTCGCAGGCTACGAATACGAAACAAATTAAATTCTAAAATGCCATCTTGATATTCCAGATTTGATGAATTCAAAATCATTTGAAACTGTGAATGCTGAGTTTTATTTTGAAGAACTTATACTATACCTGGACCTGGTGCCGTAGGCCCAGGGCTTTCAACTTCCATGGGTTGAGGTGGTGGTGGTGGAGGAGGTGGTGGTGGGACTCCAGGGTCTGGAGGGGGTGGTGGAGGGGGAGTATATAGGGATGATGATGAACTTTCAGTGTTAGGTTGGGCAGCTGGGGCAGGTTCTTCGGGGATCACTTCAGGTAGTTCGGGGACATTGGATCCAGGGACGGATGGTGCAATAGATGGACCAAGGTCTGCACTAGTGTTGAAAATAGACATAGAGTTTCATTATTTCATTTCATAAACATTTATTTAGACTATCTTAAAAGCTAAATAGATCAGAATCTCTTAACTGGAATTCTTACCTCCAAGCCAGATCATCGGCAATACCAGGTAAATCTGGAAGATGCACTGGTACATCAAGTTCTGGAACATCCCCAAGGTTTGGAACATAAAAGTAATTGGTCAGACCAAGTAGATCCATTTCTTCCCGGTTCGTGATGGTCACCGGCGCAGCAGCTAGGTCCTCATCCTCTTCGTCCAGGCCTTTCCTGGTCTTAGTGACTGCACCTTCCAGGGGATCCAAAATCACATATTTCTTGTAAGGATTCTCGGTTGTGTTGAAAAGAAGAAGCGAACTAATAGATGTGATATCCTTCGGTAATCCGCCCAGACCCTGATCTGCCCTATCGGTTTTTCGTTTAGACGTATTCAGTTGAACGTTGTAGAATTGCAGCTTCTCCTTGAGGCTGTTGTGGTCAGCTTTCGGGAATTTGCTTGCTACGTGATAATTTTGATCAACACTGGGAAGGGGGTTATCGTCTAAGCCATCACAAGTGTGTAGAGATGTGTACATCTCTAGTTTATCCGGGGCTGGATATTTTGCGCTCGAAAAGACCCTGATCGCTTTCCTGCTTCCGCGGATCTTCTCGATTTTCGCCAAAGCGAGGTTGGCTCGCCTGTCGATGGCTGCGATCTGCTCGCGATTTTCCGCAACACGCTTCTCGATTTTCGAAAATACATCATTGGAAACTTGTTGTAAATACTCCAATGCATTGACCATTTGAAATACGGACTCCTCTTTACGTAAGCCTGGTAAAATCAACGGTACGTCGTACGTAACACCTGGCATTTTTGCTGATTTTCGACCATGGAAACTTCGACTTTCGGATACGAATTTGGGGAAGAAGGGGAATATCAAATTACGTAATGTGATTGTTTAAACCCTGTACGTCATGTAGGGTAATTGAAAGAACTTCGCTGTAAAAAGGGAAACTGGTAAGCAGGTACCAGAAAGGTAGCAAAATACTGTTTTATTTGTTTACCGTAAAAACACTTTCTTTTGGCTGGAGGCCTTTCAATGCTTTTTATCTAGAGCGATTCTATGTCTTAAAATTTTTAATCGTGTAATTTTAGGCACGTTTTCCCTAAATATGTACACTATATTAGACGTGTTTTCTCAGTGTTTTTGACAAGGCAGGAGAGTGGTACTAGTTTTCCAAATACAACGTGCATTGAGAACAGGGCTTCGAAATAGTTGCATAAGACTTAAGACTGTCCTCATAGGGGGATAGAAGTGACAAAATAAGGAAACAAAGAACCTTTGAAAGGAATGCATGATATATCCTACCAACACAAATTCCTTAGTTGTTATTTTGAAGGAAATCTCATTCAATTGTGGAAGCCCTGATTGAGAACGTCAGAAATAAATTTTTAATCGCCAGCTTCGAGGTCTATATTTCTAGTTGAAATACAGTATTAAATACAAATATCATTGTGAGGTAGGAACTGCATAAATGGGTGAATGAAAGCAACGAAGCTGTTTGGAAGGATCCTTAAATCGCCGCATTTTAATCCGCTTACATTTTCAAGCCTCGCATTCGATTTGAACGCATGTCATCCACGTGTAGATTAAGCCATTTCAAAACATTCATTTAACACGGTCCAATCGTTGATCTAACATTACGCAACACTCGGGTCACTGACATGGAAAAATACTGGATCATGAGCATCGCTGAAGCCTGAAGTCTAAACATTTTTAATAAACTATATGAATAGGATGTAATCGTGCTATTATAGTCGAATTCCCTCCGCGATCGCTGCCTTCTATAGCAGATTTTTGACGATTTTTGCTCGGGAGTTGAAGATTTTTACAACTTGGGGAAAAATGGCTCCCACAATAGCGTCTCAAAGGGTCAGCTCTAATGGTGTCACTAAAGGTACATTATTAATATTTGGTTGTTTGTATTGTTTACTATATGTATTTTATTTAAGTATCATGCCAGATCTGTATATTTCTGATATTGGAATACTGTGTTTGTACAATTTCCAAGATCAGAAAAGTTAGAATTCACACTTTTACACAGTCACGTATTTATGTAGATTACAGTAGATATGGCACTAAATTACTCTTGCTACATTTAATGTATTTATATATTTCTGTTATTCACTCTGTCTTATACCAGACGATTTCACTGATCAATATTTTAATACTACTTGTTGTCAATGGATTAGCTTTTTACCAAGAAATTTTATCAGAAACTGAGGATACTGCCATATTGACATTTGTTTACAACATATTGGTACATATTGTATTGTACAATGTTGACCTGGTGTATGCTGGTCTTGTTGTATTTCAGTACAGACAGATTACTAGTAATTTAGAGTACTTCAACAACTCTGCATTTAAATATATTGTTATTTACATCTGCCTAGCACGGGAAATGCACTTTCACCTCTATATTCTTTTAAAACACTCTTTTGTAATACTCTATTACAATTCAAAATACAACCGGTCTGGCCTTTCTGGCCGCTATTTGTGGTCCAGTGATGTGTCTGGTAAGGCTTACTTGATTCTTTGCTGTTTTGACACTAGATATTTTTCAATATCTCCATGAAACCCTGGCTGAAAGAGTGATGATTATTGATGGTGCAATGGGAACTATGATCCAGCAGCACAACTTGGATGAAGATGCATTTCGAGGTACTTTATTCTTTTTCAATATATTCCCTTTAAGATATAACAGCAGCAAAAGCAGGAATCGGCATTAACTATGAAAAATTCCAAGCACATCATTACCTTGAAGTTCAAATGTTCAACAACATTAACACATTCTGAAAACTAAATGCAGTCTTCTATGTCCCCGTAAAATCCAACTTGCTATAATATTTCAGCGAATATGTAATTCATTATTAGTTAGTGCAACATTTATGTTTAATACAATAAATAAGTTCATAATTGACATAGTACATTATTAAGAATTACATAATTCATAAAAGCTTCAAAATGTCTCTAAAAGTCAAATGCAAAGTTTACTGTTTCTGATTAGTGCTTTTGCTTTCTTGACTAAACTGTACAAATTCCCTTAAATTTTCCTCTAAAGTTGACCCATTGTCTTCACAATTTGTCAACCAGTTCTTGATAAGGGCATCTGCATTATCACTTGATTGCAGTACGTTATATGTTTCCACAATAAGATCTAAATCTATGTTTTCCACCAACTTTACCATCTGTTGATCAGCTAATTCATTTAAAGATAGTGTAGTCTGGTTCCTTGTTTGAGGAATGCTCAATATGGCACTTCTATCTGTTGTTGTCGTAAAACTAAATGGTTCAACGCTGTTGTTCATGTTTTCTTCAGCAATTTGTTTTGATTCGGGGATGTGAATGATTGTAAATGTGGCTTTGTTGGTGGGTCCATTTTGCTGCTTTAGATCTAAGTTTGTTTCAATCTTGTGTCCTAGGCTACTGTTGAGTTCTTGAACTGTTGTGCTTTCAAGGCCATCTGCACTTGTGGCTGATTCCATTGATTCCAATTCATATGTTGATGGTCTCTGATTTATTGCAACTAAGTCTGTAGAGCCTATAAATATATTCAAAGAATGATTTAAATCAGAATTGCCACCAATTTTTTAGACGTAAAGGGGATTAAAGAAAGGAAACTCGTTCGGATCTAACCGAACGGAATTGATCATAACGCATCCAAATTGAATGCGTTATGCATAGAGCTCCTTACGTTTCACAGCATTCAAACCGCTAGGACTATGATGTTTTGTCTGGATTATGGCTGAACTTGCAAAGTAATCCTTGCAAATCATTTTGGTGTTTGTATAGAGTTATATATTTATGTCGTGAAAAACGTTTTTAGTATTTCGAAGTAGCAGTTATATTCACCTAAACTCTCATTCAAACACCATTCGCTTTCGATCACCACTCCAGAGATACTTTCACATTCATTGTTTTTGCCTTGGCCATTTTTCTTCGCGAATTTCCGTTCTCTCGCCCGCCTGTTTTGGAACCAAATTTGAATGGTTTTCACAGGAAGTCCAAGCTCTATCGCAAGCTTCTCTCTGCGAATCGAGTTTGGGTGTTTAACTTCGTTGAAACATTCTTCCAAAACTTGTAAGTGACTTTCGGTAAACGTGGTTCTTTCGCGTGGATGTCTGTTGTATGGATGGCCTAGATAATCATCGTTTAAAAATTGCAAACATTGTTTTATTCCTATTAAAAATATCTAAGCTAAAGTCAACGAAACTAAAGAAACATCTAGCAAGAATGGCTAAAGTTATTTCCGCAAAACCTTTGGTAATAATATAACTAAACTAAACTAAACCAAACTCAACTGATTGGAACTGAAAGAGCTCAAGTGAAATAAATTCAAATGGACTAAGTTGAACTGATTCAAACTTAACTAAAGTGAGTTGGAGCAACGTGGAAGCATCTTCAAGCGAAAAGAAAAATGGCGGTTATACTGTAAGTCGAAACGAGAAGTATTTTTGTCTATTTTAGGTTAGGCAGTTTCTATACCGCATTCGATTAGAAGTTGAACTGAGTTGAACTGAAATGAAGTTAATTCAAATGCACTGAATTGATTGGAATTGAAATGAATTGAATTGAAATGAAATGAGTTGAATTGAAAGGAAGGGAAATAAAATGAAATGAACTGAGATAAATTTGAATACACTGGATGGTTTGGAGTGAACGGAAACGAATTGAACTGAACTGGTTGGAATATCGAAATAAACTGAACCTGACTGAACTGAGAAAGAACGAATCTTCTGGATGGAATGGAATTGAACCGCATTGAATTCAATGAACTCAGCTAAAATGATATGAACTGGAATAAATGTAGGTGCAATAGATGGAATGGAATTTTCCTGAATCAAATTGAATTAAATTGATTTGGAATAAACGTAACTGAGCTCATTGCTATAAATGAAGTGGGATTGAACAGAATTGTATTGAGCAAAACTGAATGAAGATAAACTGGTATTTTATAAATCAATCCAGTACGACCAACCTTACCGTCAAATTTATTGTAAGGATTGTAAAAGTTAGTTCCGTGGTTTTGGTACACTTTATTGCCATCAAAATCCACATTTTTCTTTCCCTGACTGTTAAGAGCACTCGATTTCAACCATTCCGCTAACCCTGATAGTCTCTTATCAACAGAGTCGTACGAATCCATTTTAATGTTTTTAAAGTTGTTTGAATAAAAAGTTTCGCGCTTTTTCCGAAGTTCTTTGATTCTTTTGTATTTATGACGCAATTAATTACTATAATGACACGCGTGTGTTACGCGCGTGTGTTTTTTACCCAGGGAAACCAGAGCGCTCCATATACATCTGGAACGTGAAGTGTCGTCTGTGAATGTAAAGCCAGGCCCTATCACTCCAGATGTACGACGTTCACCGGTTTACTCTTCACTGATCTATATATGATATATTTAAAAGCTTAGCGCGATATTTCCTCACTTATAACGTCAGGTCTCAAGGCCCAATGGCCCGTTTTTTAAAAAAACAAACTCTGGTAACGATTGTCTAATTTTGTCAAACGAACCGATGTCTTAAACCACTGATCAGTGCGGAAATTATTCTAATCCATGGATGTTTATTGCCGTGGTGTAAAGGCAACGATATGGTGTCAATATTTGTCTAATTATTTTTTATTTACCTGATAATTTCAGTATGAATGAAACAACATCTCATAAATTAGAGCATAGTAATCATAGCACAACTCTAAAATATTCAAAGTTATATTTCTCATAATATACAGATATTTACATTATTATACACAAATACGGAATAACCAGCGTTCAAATACTACTACTTTCAAAAACATGCCTTTACCTACAAATGTGCATGCATGCCTAATAACTTAACGTGTCCAATAAATAACTTAAGGCAGGTTATCACAAGAGTTCCGTATTTTAAATGTCTGCTATGAAACAGGCCAGCACAAATGTTCTGGCTGGAGCAGAAACCTGTTTTCTCGAACGCTGTTCCAAAGTCGTATCCATGATGTTTTCCACCATTTTTTCTTCGTCTATAATGTCCATTTGATTGTGTTACTTTTCGTTGTCGTCATGTCTTTGAGAATCTTATCTCAACATGTCATCTTGCCCCCATAACGTCCATTGGGGTCTGTAAATGGGAAGAAAGAAAAATATTGCTATAATGAATATTGCTATATTACCTGTGTAAGATCGTATATTAATTTTCTGGACTGCCAGTTCGTCTGTGTTTTTGGCTCACACACGCTGGTTTTAGATTTGCAGTGAAGGGACGCCTTAGGTAGTCTTAGTCGATACAAACCTAGATGTCTAATAAGTTGGCCCATCATATAGCAGTAGTTCATCTTGTTGGTGTAACCATAATTGAGTATAATGATTGGTTTATGGTTGTACTGGGTGTAACCATAACGGTTTCTGTAGCTGTGGGATTGTAACATGTGGAAACCGTGATGCTGGTAACTGCCAAGTTTCCTATAAAGATTCTTCCAGTCGATTTCAAAGAGTTCCCGATAATATCTGCCCACATCGTTCCGAACGTTGCTCGCTTGATTGTTCATGTCCTCAGTTCTTTGAGAATCTGATCTCAACATGTTTTCTTGCCCATAACGTCCATTAGGATCTGTAAGTGGGAAGAAAGGAAAATATTTCTATATTGAGCTAACTGTTTAAGATCGTATGTTAAATTTAATTTCTGGGCTGCCAGTTCGTCGGCTTTTTTTTGTTCAAAGGCGGTGGTTTATTATTATTATTATTATTATTATTATTATTAGTTTATTAAAATCGTATCGCAGTACAAACTGAATTACACGATTATCGTTACATAGGGTATTAAATATTGTAAGGTGTTACAGAATATTAATAATTTATAAAATAATCATCAATATAGTCTACATAGGTAGGCCTAATTGAGAAGTTATATACAACGGTAAAATGACTTATTTACATACTTAGCTAGATTAAAATGGAATTTAAATATTGTAATTCAATATTGTTTTTTTAAATATTATACTTAACTGTAACAAAGTTACGAAACCGCTCAGTGCATATAGGCGGTGGAGATCGAATATTGTTTTGATTTCGTAGGTAATAATCATGAGCGGGTTCTTGAGCTTCTACTTTAACAATAGATTCTAATGGATTACAAAAGTGTGTCTTGGATTCCCTTAACCTATGAACGAACAGTTTCCTGCGTGGGAGCAGTGGGAGCCCTTTGCAGTGAGAGCCCGTCTTGGTTAGTCTAAGTCAATACAAACCTAGATGTCTAATAAGTTGGCCCATCATATAACAGTAGTTCATCTTGTTGGTGTAACCATAATTGAGTATAATGATTGGTTTATGGTTGTACTGGGTGTAACCATAACGGTTTCTGTAGCTGTGGGATTGTAACATATGGAAACCGTGATGCTGGTAACTGCCAAGTTTCCTATAAAGATTCTTCCAGTCGATTTTGAAGAGTTCCCTATAATATCTGGCCACATCGTTGCGAACATTGTTCACTTCAATATTGATGTCCTTCGTTCTTTGGGAATCTGATCTTAACATGTCTTCTTGCCCATAACGTCCATTGGTGTCTGTAAATCGGAAGAAAGGAAGATATTACTATATTAAGCTAACTGTGTAAGAACATATGTTCATTTTCTGGGCTGCTAATTCGTCTTTGGAGTGGGGGAGGCGGCTTGAATAGTCTCAG